GGTCTTTCCATCAGCCATACGAGGAATCATGCGAGCACCACCGTCAACAAGGCATTGGACGACTTCGGGGGTCGAGCACATGCACGCGAGTTGAAGTGGTGTCCGTCCAGTGTAGTCACGACGGTCTGGGTTGGTACCCTCATCTGCAAGGAAAGCTTTAACAGAGTCAACATCGTTTGCCACAATTGCCTGGCAAAGTCTCTCGGTGCGGCCGACATAAGCCATTTCTATCATTTTCACATTAGTGTATGATTCAAAATAAAGCAAGCTGTCAGAAAATTCGCTCACCGGTCCAATCAGTCTCAGTGATGGGGTTGAAACTTCCGATTTCCTGGCGACCAGGATCATCTTTGATGAAACTGATTTGACCAGAGATATAAATCTTGGCCTCCTCGTCGGCAACCTTAATTTCCTCGTCGGTAACAGGTTTGGGGCAGAAGCCACAACAGTCACCAATGACATGTTCTGCTTCGCCAAAGAATGCTGGATGGCGATGAAGATAAACCGCACGGTCTTTGGGTTGGTTCCACTGGGCGTTCAGCAACAGGTCCTTGGTGTAAAGTAGCTTCTCAATATTTCTGGCGTTGAACCTCCGGCCGTAAGGAATTGTCTATTGTAGGGTCAGTAAGAGTCCATGGGCAGTGAGTCAGTTGCAGTGAAGGTACGAACAAAAGTATTGTAATCAGACACTTGGTCTTGCTCTTGCCATTCAGGTACCTCATCTTCCCAGTCATCCTTGAGATTACCATGCAGCACTTTACCATGGCGACGTTGTAGGTACAAACTCAGAGGAGGACGACCTCGTTCTTCGCGCCTCTTTTGGAGATAGTTGTCCCGGTCTTGAGACCGAGGAAGCTTTTCCAATACCAGAAGTCGTGCAAGACCTTCAGTTCTGGTGAAGCTTCTCTCGAAGATAGTCTACCCCAAAAATTAGTTTCGATGAAATTCCATCCACCTGGTCAAAGGATTCAATTCTCACCGGGTCAATCTTCGATCTGTCAAGAGCAGGCCAGAAGACCTCGAATCCTCTGTGCGAATACTTAGAGAGACGATTTTCGTATGATGGTGATCGTCTAGTCAGGTCAATCTGGTTTGCCTGCGTGATATATGCAGCGATTGCGCGTGGAGAGCTATAGACTTGGCGGCCATCATAAGCCGCGCACGAAACATCAACGTCAAAGCCGGTGAGAATCTCGGCAACTGAGCGGTAGATTCGAAGCACGATTTGCACATGGCGGTTTGGATACTGCGAAGCAATGGTGATTGTATTCTTGGTCCGGATGGTCGTGGTCTCGTAGAGGATAGTGTTCTTGATCTTATCCTCGATATGCATGATCTTCTCCAGAGCTTGCTCCTCATTCAGACCATACAAGAAGAGGTCCACATCTGATGCCGGAGCAAACTCTTCATGGTAGTACTTACGAAGACCACGCTTTGAGTTTCGATATTTTTCCGGCACAGGCAAAAGCGAGGTCACGACAGCGCTACCAGCAGCGACGACGTTGGACCAGTCGATTTCACTCAAGGAGCCCTCTGTAAAGAGGGCAAAGTTGTTCTGGAACTCATTCAAAGAGGGCACAACTGCCACAGAACCATGTGGTTTCCGGTCTTTTGCATTCAGGGGCAAAAGATACTTCTCTGTTTGCTCTGGCTTTTCCGAGACAAGGTCTCTAGCTCGAATGGAAAGATCTGTTGAACCAGTCTGGTCGTACAATGGCACAATGTTGACGTAGTTATCTTGGATTGACGGATGAGATGGCTCTTGGGCGAATTTCTTGCGCAAAACAGCATCATACTCGTTATATGGCTGAACCAAGTCGGCCATGGGCTTCTCCGGGTTGGAGTTGACATACTTCACGAAGTCATTGTGCTTCACTGGGAGGGAGGGTAAAGAAGTCATGTTGTAAATTGTGCAAATGTAGTGAGAATGTTGAGAATGTCAATTGAATGATAAAATTCAGGAGAACCCTATGAAGTTTAAATACTTCGGCAGGTCTTTAGGGTCATCTCCATTGACTTTCCACTTAGCGTTAGGGTCCAGGCATCCTTAGGCATCCCTAGGCAACAGACCCACTATCGCCCACTTTTTTCGATCGCTTCCTCGTATAACCAAAGATCAACAAACATCCTACTTCGTTTGCTCGTATAAGTAATGCGATGCTAATTGACCCGTGTACTCATATGTCTCGATTGTAAGCCTAACTACAGCCCATGTACAAATAACAGGCACCCTTAGCAGATGTCAAAGTGGGTTGGACCTAACAGGATGATACGGACAATACACCAATTATTCCCATTATTTCGCAGAGGCTTACAAAGACGACACTTGTTGCAATGTTGACTGCTACGGGGGGGGGGGGGGTTGGAATTGGTAGTTTGAGGTATTCACTGGGGTTGGTTGCTGCTATACCTGAGCGATTTAGATACGGGCGGACGTAGCGAATTCTTGCTTCTTGCTACCATATATGTTGTACGGTAGTGACCCAGGCCCACAAGACATTCATATTCCACCGCCCGGAGCCTGCAGTAGCATTGGCCATACGGAGTATATATAGTAAATATCAATAAGTCTGTTTGTAGTAATTGTGTTTTTCGCCGTATTCTATGGTTTGTGACTGGTTATCCAAAAGACATTTAACAAGGTATTGAAATGTCATTGGAATATATCAGCGTAAACCAACTGCATATCCAGACTATTGAAGTCCTATATCGCCAAGTATAGAGGCCATATGGATTGTCGACGTTTCTCTTCTATATAAACACCCACCTCATTCTATATATATATATTTCTCACCAGGGGGTTGATATCACTATTGAAGGATGCATTATCCCATATTAGTATAAACCACATTAAAGAAGGTAGAGCCATAAGCAATAAATATTAAAAGCGAATAAGACCAAAATCCCCAGCAGTGGGTCGTTATACACTACGATACACAAAAGTTTGTCTCTCAATAACATACACATCTATAAATGTGACACCGGATAACAACAATGGGACCGAAAAGGATTGAGAGTTGTTTCACAGTCCACCCACGACAGTTCTGGTAAACCAGGCGATCGTGGCGATAATTCCTAAATAGCACAACCCTATCCCTACGAAAAAAAGACAATCCTGACTTAATTTGGAGTGATGTGCGGCTTCTTGGGCGTTGCAAATGAGTAGAATCGGCCCAGACACCCACAAAAGGCGCTCAAAGGGTAGGCTGCCGCTCCAAAAACTGGCCCTTTGGGTATGCCGATATAGGCGAAATAGGAGGATGATAGCAAGGATGGGCATGCCACACATCAAGAGAAGGTTGAGAGCGCCTGCTGGAGTTGAATGCCATGCAGAGGCCATATCCTCGCTGACACTGTCGTAAAGATAAAAACCAATATTCCCAAAGAAACGTTGGAAATCTTCTCGAGATAGCTCACGAAGGTGCTGCTCACGGCCATGACTCCATCTGCTTACGGTGGACTTGGCATATGTAGCTGATACATTATGTTTCATTATCAATACATTCGCCAGATAGGTTCGGATTTGGCTTGGTCCATCATGTTTCGAAGGATAGGTGGCCATGGTGAAAAGTAGACGAGTAGTAGTCAATAGACGAAGAGTCACTGTGGTCAAAAGGATAGAAAAGAGGAAAGAACTTTGGAGGATGAAAGTTGACCGTGGGAAGGGTCAAGAGTACTATGTAATGGGATGGACCCGTGGATCTGTATCCTTGGCCGCTCCCTATTCGGACTCGGAAGAAGCACCTATTATCAGGTTATGTGGCCAGGTATAAAGGTGAAAAGTAAATATGCCACACGTTACAGTCCAACTATCAACATTGGATGCCAGACTTGGACCCTGTCATCAGTACTCATAGACCTAACAGAGGAACATGCCCAAAAAAGCCATACCGATAGCTGAGAAGGTAGACACATTATGTAGCCACCACAGCCACCTATTATGGTCTCTAGTGGAGATTAGAGTCTAATGTATACCTAGGTAAATCGATGCAGCGATATATACGATCTTCTGACCTCTCCAGCCAGCGGGCCGGGGGGGTTGCACTTATGTAATCAGTCAGGTGCACCAGGGCAGCGGCCGGATTACGGGTGCTTGCGTGGATCGGGCCACTGATCACGTGATTTCCAGATGACTATGTATAACATAACTGGATGGTAGCAGAGCATCACACAGAGGGCTGGAACAATAGCACGGTCATCCGGTTTGATTTAATGTAAACTTTCAAGATATTAGATTTGGGCCAGATGATAAAAGAAAAAGACGTTCATTGCCCAGATAGACCTGGCCTTCCTAATGGTAGCTGCGGTGCCTCTATCTTGCATGTACCGTATTATTGCGTGGCTGGTTATAGATCATATCCGATCCATGCCGTCTAAAACTACAGGACATGTGTATCTTTCTTTGTTAGGCACTTTAAGTCGGAAATACCATTGAACGTATAAAACGTAGACTGGCCTCAAGAATTAGCAACTCACAGACATATAAGTAAAGGCCAATGTTGTTCGTAGTTAGCTGATTTCAATTATATGGGTCCATCCTTGGCAACAACATCATGCTAAGACGGATGAATGAATGTTCTTCTCAAGTTGTATGATGTGCGGCGTAGCAAGTGGATCCACCTATCCTAGTCATCGTCATGGTTCTGGGCTTGGCACGCGCTGACTCATCGACTCATCATGCCCGATCTAATCATTGATCCAAACCTTGGAAGACCTCATTCTCCTCTTCTTTCTATATCAGACCTGAGAAGTGAAGCCTTCTCTTCTATTTGTTATTCTAGTCACCTCGCTACCACTTACACACTGATCATTTGATCACTCAACATCTATTTCACAGTCCATCGTCTGCCCCGCCCATTACTTTCCCCGCTCCGACTACGGGGAGTATCTGCTTGTGAATCACGACATTTGACACTGCTGGGTCTGCTTTCCTCGTGAGAGCTCGCCGTCGATAATACCTCCGAGATCCAAAACCCTACCGCTTTATTCAAACCGCCAATATGAGTAGCCCAAAGCGCAGAATCGAGACAGATGTGAGTAATGTTGCGGATAGTCCGATAAGCCCCCAGAGTTGCTGGAGATGCTAATAACGACTGTTTTTCATTATACAGGTCATGAAGTATGCTCCACAAGTTCGAAAGCATCCAAAATATACGAAACTAACATTTGGCTAGGATGTACGACCGAAAATCCCCCCATCCTTTCAATTTGGCCGCCGCTTTTCCCAACCTTTTTTTTTTTGGCCCGCCTCGGCGAGCATACTTGGTTTCCGGGAAATATATTGACAGTTATCTAGGCTAATGAGTGACTATGAGGTGACTCTGGTCAATGACAACAGTAAGTTGTGGTCCTCCACCAGTTAAGGATCTATATACTAACTCCGGAAATCCAGTGTATGTACTCTGCATCCCTACAATCAACCATTTGAAGATCTCCGATACCAATTACCACCAACAGGCAAGAATTCTACGTTCGTTTCAAGGGCCCAGAAGAGAGTATGTCTCACTCATAATCAACTGATATTACATCAAACTAACTAACCTTCCTAGCACCATTTACCGGAGGCCTTTGGAAAATTCACGTCGAATTGCCTGACCAGTACCCATACAAAAGCCCGAGCATCGGATTCGTCAACAGAATTTTCCATCCAAACATCGACGAGCTGTGAGTTATGGGTTCGACGTGCGTGCAAAAAGAAAACTCAAGAGGTTAATGCGATTTTTCTATCCTAGGTCGGGGTCGGTCTGCCTTGATGTGATCAACCAAACGTGGTCGCCCATGTACGACATGCTCAACATTTTCGAGGTCTTCCTTCCCCAGCTCCTCCGTTACCCCAACCCTTCGGATCCTCTCAACGGAGAGGCAGCCGCGCTGATGATGAGAGAACCCAAAGCATATGAGGCAAAGGTGAAAGGTGTGTTGAGGATATGTATTTGCTAATATGCGATAAATGTGATATTAACAACTCCGCGCTAGAATATGTTGCCAAATACGCTAGCAAAGAGGCTGTGGATGAAGCGGGCGAGGACACCGAGTCTGAAGATGAGCTAAGCTCGGCGGGGAGCTACGAGTCTGACGGCGAACAACCTGCGGGTACAATGGACGATGTCTGATGGTCTGCAGTGCAACCCTTTCCATCAGGTCTAGGATTGACCCGGCACGAACATATTGCATCACCCTATGTCCATCTCGGAACTGGATATGAGCGGGCGTTTTCTTTTATTTATAACAGGGGAGTTGTCATGTATCCATTTTCTTTTCTTGTTAATCTCCATATTGGGGGTTTTTTTCCCCACTCACTATTATGTATTTGGTCCACCCAGGAGGCATTTGCGGTAATTATCGGCGGAGCCACAGGTTGAACAATTGATACCGAATCTCTCATAGGTATGGGGAGTCATTCTTTTTTATTCCTCTTCCCATGATATCTTAATTGTATAGTAAGCTCGAAATACTTTCCATAAAAAACTATCCACCCAAAGCTGGAATTCTATATGGGGTGACCTACCTACGAGATATACAAGAAGGATTAGCACTTTCAGTATCTACAAATAGTACCCTGATTTACATCAACTCAATTGACAATGAAACTCGAATTGTATGTCTATACGAAAAGGAAGGATGAAGTCCACTCGACACAAAAACAACATATACAGGCAGTGCACGACTGACAAGATGATATGAAGACAAAGAAACAAACTCGGAATAGCAAAACACGCCAACAGAAAAGAAAGCAACATTGTATGAAGAAAAAAAGCGTCTGATAATAAAAGAAAAAGTCTGCGCCATTGGGTATTATCAGACTATACCAGGGAGAGGAAAGAAAGAATGGCTATCTATGTGCGAAAAACAGTCGACCTGCGATCAATGCAAGAAACAAAAATACCTCAAATACCAGCGCAGCGCAAAAAAATAATAAAACGGGTCTTCCAGTACCCTTATCTGCACCCCTCAATTTTATCCTCACAGCCCGCACCCTTATTTGTCGTGTACATCTCATCGTCAATGTGCAGAGTCAATGTGCAGCGTAAATGTGCAGTGATGGATGCCCCAAACGCCTTGTTTTAGGTGACGTTGAGAACTCCAAACACATCATGGCTTGCCTTAGCATCAGTTTTGATATCGGTACGAGACCGTTTCTTGTTTGGGTTCACGACAACTTCACCCCAGTGTTTCGGGACAGTGCCTGATGCAATGGATGTGGGACGGCTTGGCGGTGATGTGCGATGGGTAGATGTAACAAGCGTTGTCGTGTCGGTTGTTTGTGATGGAACGGGAGATGCAGAGATAGGGGGGTGGAGAGTTGCTTGGGGTCGAAGGTGTGGTTGTGGTTGGATGGACCAGATATCGATGACGGAGCTGAGAGATATGATTAGCATGAATTCAGTTCTCACCCTAAGCTAATTTGCCGTAGAATAGAACAAAATGAAACTAGGTATTGTATACTCACTCAGATGTCCGCTGGCAAATTGATTCCAGCGCCTCCCTCTCACGTCTCACATATTCCAAATCCGGCTGGCTTGCCTGATGAGCATGGTTGAGTGCTCCGTAGCCATACCCGGCTTGATAAGGGTCCTCATCGAGTAGACGGGAGGACTCAGGCTTGAAGAAAGAGATGTTAGACAACTGTGCTCTGTGATAAGCCTCCCACGCATCGCGCATCAGACCGAGGTAATGCGCGCTGAACATGGTCACGGTGAAATTATCTCCAGACACTCGGGACTCACCTCAGGAGACTCGTGGCGATTCCCGCCGAGGCAGGAGGCACAGATACCCATTTATAGGGATCGGGATCGGGAATTCAGAACCGAGAATGTTCTTAGCTGCACGTTTGCGCTATGCGATGGGCACGAGGCATTAATCACCCCAATAGTTGAGGTGCGGGTACCCTTTGTTGGAGCAGGTGAGGGAATTATCAGAAGGTAAGGAGTGGAATATGCAGAAAACAGAGAATATGAAATGAAACAAATGGCGCAGTAGAGAGTCACAATGTCGACAAAAAGGACTCCTTTGAAGTCGGAGGTTGAGGCTGGGCGGTCCGTGCCATGTCATCAGGTGGTGGCCGCAGAGCGGCGTGGAAACACCGTTTTTCTCGATTTTGGCATCTTGGTCTTATTCCTCTCCCCACACATCACACCATGTTTGATCTACCAAATGCCAAGCGGTATGTGAGCAAGCAGTTCATTTACGCTTTTCTCAATGTACCCATCAACTAATCCGGCTCGTACAGAGTCCGTCGCGATGAGATGCGCTCGCCAGCGTCATCTCGCTCACCATCACCAGCACCAGATGACGCTGCCGCCCAGGATGCATATGCCCGCCTAGGAAAACTACTCAATCTCGGTCAATTGGATACTGCGCAGGATACAACTAGCCAAGACAATGGTCCCTCACAGCCTATAGAGGACGAGGATGAAGAACAAGAATTCGAGTTCCGGCTATTCAGCGCCCCCACCAAATCAACGGAAGATATCACCAACCAGTCAGGAAAGGATACAGATGGGAAAATCACAGAGGCTGCCCCTACTCAAAAATTGAGGATTCGGTTGCATTCACCTACACCGGGGTCTGGAGCCGGCACCGAGGGACGATTCGTGAAAGCCTCCCGCGGGTGGGATTATTACTTCTCTACACCTTCCCTCCAGGGAACAAGGAGCGGGGAACCTACCGCCGAAGACGAGATCCGGATCGCGGAAAAGAAGAAACAATTTGAGGATATGGCCGTTAGCGGGGAGCACATGCTGACATGGGCCAACTCGTTAGTCTGGGTAAGTAGATACCCATCCATTTGGCTGGTTCTATAAGCTAACTTGATTCTTAGCCCGGCTGCCATCTCCCCTGGCGAGTCATCCATCTCAAGCGACATCAGACTAAACTGCCACGGCCAGCCAACAGTCTTCCCGTCTATGTGGTAGAGGGCGTACCTCTCTCGAAGAGCCCACTTACACGCAAGAAGCCAGGCAAGAAGCGACGAGTGCAGCTGCGCAAGCGGGTTGCGGCCGCACAGGCTGCCAAGGAAAATGAAGCCGAGAAGCGGACTCGGAAGAACCGCGAAAGGAAACTCAAGCGCAGACAAAAAGCCAGAGAGCAGAAGGCTGCGGCGGCGGGTGTTAGCGTTGAAGATATCGCTATGGCGGATGGTGATGATCATTCCTCTGGCGGGGAGGAATGAAACTATCTAGCATCAGGATAGACTTCTTAATGTGATACCCGTGGGAGTGTTGGTTTTCCCCTTTGTCGTCAGCAGCAATAGTATAATTTATCAAATGAAAGCGGCAAGTATTACTGTTACTGTCGCGTAAGGATTCTGGAATGGTTAAGTAGAGCTTTGCATGGGCATGGGGTATGGTATTGGGCAGTCTGATCAAGGCCGATATGGAAAGAAAAAAGAAGAAAAAAGAAAAAAGCATGCAATGCATCGCTTCGAGAAACTGATTAATATACAACGCTGAGGGTATGGAACAATTAGGGAGTGGGAAAAAAACACTCGCAAGTTAGATCAGACTCGCAAAGAAAGGTCCAATTCTCGCCAATTAAGTGGATATTCCCACTTCTACTTAGCGGGCACATCTAGCTTCGCTGTTAGCAATTTCCTCTTGCCTAGTTGAAACAAGTGACTAACCAGTCTTAGCGGCAGCTTCCTCAGGCGCAGCAGCAGTGGCCTCGGGTTGAACAGCCGGCTCTTCGACCTTAGCAGCGGATTCCTCGGCAGCAGGGGCCTCGGTCTTCGCGACGGGCTCCTCGGGCTTGACAGCAGATTCCTCAAGCTTAGAAACAGGCTCCTCAGGCTTAGCAACGGCCGCCTCGGGCTGCACAGCAGGTTCAGGCGCAGCAGCAGGGGCCTCGGCCTTAGCGGCAGGGGCTTCAGCCTGTACAGCAGGTTCAGGTGCTGGCGTAGCAGTGGTAGCCTCAGGCTCGTAATGAGTCTCAACAGGGCCGGCGGTAGCCGTCATCTCAGAGGAGGCGGCAGGCTCCGCCGTGCTCGCATCCTTTGCCTCAGGCACTTTAGCAGCATCTGGGGTAGATCAATAAGTCAGTCGGGGGTCAAATGCGCGACGGAGTTGGTATCAAATTGATAAGAGAGTGTCATACCTGGGGCAGAGTCCGGGGTTGCAGCGGGGGCGGTGGGTTTCGCGGCAGGCGTCTCACTGGCTGCCGCAGCAGCGACAGGGGCAGCAGTCGCAGCAGGGGCCGGTTCAGCCTTCTGTTCGGTTGTCTTCTTAGCGGCCTTCTTACGAAGGCTGAAGAACCGCTTGAAGCCCTTCTTGACCTGGTCAAGAGCGTCGGGTGCTGGGGAATGTTAGCGCTGTGTGCTTGCGGTTCGGAGGTGCGCCAAATGTTGGGTCGGGAGTATAGGGGATGGGCGATCACTCACGAACACCAGGCATTTTGATCGAGTTTGAGATCGGGGTAAAGGAAGGTTTGATAAATGTGAATCAAGAGCCGATGAGGAACGCGAACGAAAAGGAGGAGAAGCGCGCAGTCGATCTATTCACTCCCCACGTGACTGCCCCCATCTATGCTGTTGACTTTCCTTTTTTGTTTTTTTGGGGGGGGGGGGGGGGGGGAATTAGCTTCTCGTATGTCATTTGCAATTTCCAATGCGTAGAGGAGGGGCTTTTATTGGCTGATCGTAATATAAATGGGTCCTATCCCACAGCTTATCTTGGCTCTGGCAGCTATTGTGGCTGTGCTGGCGCTAATTTGCTTGCACCTTCATTTTATTTTTCTGAAACAATCTATCGATTTATTTTATTTAGTTTCATATCATTATTAGTAGAAAGGGGAGATACGTAGCTCCTCCGGATGATTGGGTTGTGAAATGCTGGGGTTTTCCATTGCTATAGATCTAGGTGTAATGAATGAATATCAAGCATGAGTGATGCAAGCATAAATGGTAGAGATAGCAGGGGGAAAATAGAAAAGTAAACCAATAAGAAAATAAAGGAAATAACGCTGGGGTATCAATGGTATCTGGCCCGCAAATCACTGCGCAGGGTGTTTATAACTAAAGAAATTTGAAGATGGTCAGAGCAACAGAATGCCCTGAGTCACATTATATTAGCACCAATCAGTCTCGGCCATGAAGTACACACGTACCCAAAATGAGAAAAAATAAAGAGATTGCAATCTTAAGGTTCTGGGCGGCGATGATAATGAGCAGGACGGCACAGAGAGACCATATGGAGGATCCTCCGATACCGAACCCCGAGACATGCTTGAGCTTGAAAGCTGCATCGTCGATGACAGATTGCAAATTGGCAGCGGCAACGCTAGTTTTGGCCAGCAAAGCTTGCGATACTTCCGCGTCAAATTGAATGGCCTCCTGGGCCCGCGATTGTGCCGACAGGGCTTGTGATTGTTGGTTTTGGGCCTTTTGTAACTCGCTTGCTTTCGATTCGGATTGTTGAATAAAGGTTTCCATGGTTTGAAGTCGCTTAGAAAGTCAGTGAGAGAGTCTATGTGTGGGAACCGGGCTCGTACCTCTGTCATCCTGGTTTCTTGCTCAAGAATCATGCTCATTCGGCTAGTCAACCATTCCTATGAAAAGGGGCAAAATATCAGTTTCACAGTGTACACAAAACGTAAATTTATATTTGACACACCATAGCAGCATCGAACCTCTGCATTCCCTGATGCACTCTGTCCATATCTGAGCCAAGAAGCGACTCGAGTGACAGGTGTAAAGAAGATGCGAGATCCTTTTGAACAACAGCATTGCTTTCTTGAGCGAGCAACGTCTCTTGGCTTCTAGTCATTGCATCTTGATGTGTACTCCGTAGAGCCTGTTGAAGGGCTCCCACTTGGGTCGATACATTTCGGATGTCCTAGTTGAACTTTAGTACCTTCAACTCCAATTCTCTTGTTAGAATTTACCTTTTCGAGGCTGCTTGTTCCAGTCCGCACGTGTACCAAAGTGACCGATATAGAATCATGAAGAGACCATATTCCAGCTTCGATTTCTCGGAGAAAGCTGCCGAATGTTCGCTTGAACACAGAGTCTGCCGCCTCCATATCGGTCACAATCTTCTCTTGCAGAGACTGAACAGCTTGGATGAATGAGTACTGTTGTGCAGACTGTGCAGTTGCGTTTTGCAAAGCCTCTTGAAGCCCGTTATTGAGCTTCAGACTGCTCTTAGAAATGGATCGATGCAGGTCAATAAGCTCTTCTTTTTCCGTCTCCATTCGCGAGGCATGGCAGATCACAAGGGCATTCTGTCGGCTGTTGCTGTAAGAAGTCCACCACTGTGGTCGCGACTCAAGGGTCCTGAGGCATTGCTCCAATAATTCTTTCGGGACTTCATCCGAGACAGGGTCAGGGCCTCTGTGCCGACTCACGAAGCCGAATCGGTTCTTCTGTGGAGGGGGCGAGACAGTGACAGGAAGACATGAGGGAGGCAGTGGGGTGCCCGCACCGTCGATCTCACACAATGCCAGACGTGCGGCATAGACGGATCGAAGAAGGTCGAGCGTCTCTGGGCTATCCGTCTGTGTGTCGTCTTTGCCATCGCTAAATGTTTGACACGAGTTTACTAGTTTTGTGGCTGCTAGCCGGTTGCACGAGGGTGAGGATCTCATCGAGTCCAGAATCTTCACAGCTTCGTTGAAGATGCTGTCTTGGTCTTGCGCTCGGGAGGTGAGGAAAGAGATCGCGTCGATGCCTGGCGGTTTGGGCGCAATAATTGGAACGTCTTTTTGTGTTAGCAGACATATTAAAGCGACATCTGAATACCTTACTTTGTTGGGAGGTACTCGCTCGACTAAGCTGTGCAAGTGCGAGAAAGATATATGATAGCGCTTGAAAGCCACTGATTGCCTTCATAGTGAATGGTCTGGCTAGTTTAGTGCACGAGTATGGCTTTGATGGGTCCAGGTTCTTGATCACTCATGTATATTGTGTGAGATGAATGAGTACAAGAAGACATGTGAGAAGGATAGTATAAGATGGAAAGAGATGGATGAAGGATGACTTCGAAAGTAAGACTTGACGTCCAAGTTGTTTGGGTCACGCCCAACCCCGGCTTTACTTTTTCCTGGAGAATTTCCCCTCAGGACTTGGTCTGGTATTTGGCTCATGGGTTGCTTTTCTTTTATCGAAATACTCATGCAGATTGTTAGTATATGGTTAGGAGTAGGACTGCGAAAGAGCGAGCTGAGGATTGCCGTATGGAATCTTCTGGCCTTCAACCTTCCAAGGATAGGGCAATTTTGGCGGATTAGAAGAGCCGTGCATTTTCTTAAGATTTTAGATAATTGTCCGGACAATTATGGATTGTCATGAAATTTGTCAGATGAATTTCAGAGAGATTATACATGAAACTATATACATACGCAGGCATGTAATTACCGCTGGATTCGGATCACCTTGACGCTTCCTTTAGTGTGACTCCCACATAGGCAGGGCTTACCACATAATATGTTAATGGAAGACAAACGCATTGATGGAAAAAGGTACTTTGTGATGCTCATTCTGATGATAAAGACCGCTGGACTTGGACCTAGAAACTAGAGGCACGCAAAAACGTCATAATTCTACCTTGTGTCCCAGGTAAAAGTAATAATAGTAATGTAGGTTCACCTTGGCAGTTGATCAAAGATATAGAGAAATAAGATTGGACCGTCGGTTCGTTCCCTCAAGTGATGCGTAGGTAAGATTACGAGATCCGATGTCGGGAGACTGTACGCCAATAACACTGAAATAGTAAATACGGTAAGGTGAACTCTCGCCATGAGGATTCAGTAACTAACAGGTAGTAAATCTCACAACACATAACCTTTGAATTCTTATTTCAATATTGCCCTCTACCCCAAAACTTCATAGTTCAGTTCACTCAGCACATTTCTCAATTAGCCTATTGTTTTTTTCTTTTTTTTCCTGCTTGTGCTACCATCCTAGTGTTCTTCTAGTATGGCATCACCTTCTTGTAACACCCACTGTGATCCTTTGCACGTACCAGATGGTTATGACTGGACTTTGACAGACTTCAACTATTCCCAATTCACCCCCCTTGCCTATCAATCCTCTACCCCTACACTGGCGCAGCTATCGAGAGTATATGCGGATCCTCTTCGATATACTTATCCCGTACAGTATCCTGTTGCATCTGTGGCGCCTAGCTTCACTGTGTCTTCTGGCTCGCCCTGGACTTGTTCCGGTATGCGTAGCTTCAATCAAAATGCCATACATCAACCTTCAGTCGATAATGACTGTGCAGCTACGGCCCCCGGGGACCAGGCGACAGGCCATGTCGGCCCTAGGCACGACATCGCCTGCACCAATTTTTCAGCATCTGCTTCATCTGCCCCAAGGACATCTCAGGCCAAAGCTACCAGTGATAGCTATACCAAGGGAAAGAGACCTTCTGGTCGTACCCAAGGACGCCAGCGGAAACAGGAGTGAGCAACTTTAGAATCCATCAAGGTTTAACACACACTGATACCGTTCGTCCATTTTAGGAATCCCCAGCGAGCTTTCCAATGCCACTGGAAAGATTGCACATACCGCGATCCCTTCTCCGGAAAACCAGCGTTGATGCGTCACATTGACACGCAGCATATAGCTCCGCGCTCATTCGATTGTCCTTCATGCGACATGTCCTTCAATCGAAAGGACAACATGACTGAACACCGAGGAAGAGTTCACGGGGAACGAGTTCGAGGTTGATGCTGAGTTGGTGATGAGGTTCGGGTCATGGTGCCTCATCTATGTTAGGCTTAGGCGGAGATTGTGTCTCACGAAGAATGTTCATGTTTGAAGGGATATATGTGGTTTGATTGGGATAAATTGGGATATATCGTGATGGAAAGTGTTACTTCGTCGGCTTATTTTTTCCACTTGGGCGTGTGGGAGGGGGAATCCGAATGGCCCTCGGGAGTTTAGATTTCTGGGCACCAGGTTTCAACCTTTGGCCATAGAAACATGCAATAAAAAAGATCCAGCATCGAATTTTGTTGACAAAATGGACTCGAATATCATAGCACTGCAGACGAGAGCATAGTTGATTATGGTGAGATCGTGATATGATATTCCAAACAAACATTAGAATGAAACCTTGGCGGAAACCTTCAAAGCAAATGATATATAGATAATCACGTGCGCGCTAAACCTATTCGAGGCAATCCATCTGCGAACAAAATCCGAAGTCCGTAACAAAGCATCCGACCCAACACGCGCAAATCACCATGTCGTGCTCCATACCCCAACGCTGCGCCCGTCAGCTTCTCCGAGAGCCCTTCCAGCGCGGCTCCCTACCCATCTTCCTCGCACCCGCCTTCTCCCCCCGCACACAATGCTTCTCGACCACATCCCCGGCGCAGTCCCGAGTTGGAGGTGCCGCGCTATCCATCCCCCCGGAAGTGTCATTTAAGCTCATCGATATCCCCGCGACCCTCTCCCGCACACGAGGAAAGGATATCCCCAAGTTTATGGCCGAGATTAAGGGTCCTAAGGGTAATGTGTTATTGTTGAAATGTGGTCCGGCAGATGCTAACTTGTCTGATTCACAGGCGAGATGAGCCTGAACATTCCCTCGTTCCTCACTATCACCCGCGATGAGACAGGCCAGAAGGCTAGTTTGTCAGTCTTGGATCAGACGGTTCCTCACCAGCGTGCTATGTGGGGTATGTTCTCCTGTCTTTTTCTCCGTGGTCTAGTCCGCACGGCAAGCCATTGGTGTCTAACGTTTGATTCTTTTTATCTAGGAACTATTCGCGCACTCCTCCAGAATCATATCCTCGGCGTTTCCGAAGGCCACGTCTGTGTCTTGAGTATGGTTGGTGTCGGTTACAGGGCTACTATCGAGGAGAAGGCGTCCACCGTTCAAGCCGACTACCCCGGCCAAAAGTTCGTTTCCCTCAAGGTCGGCTTTTCCCACCCAATTGAACTGGGCATTCCCCGGGGCGTTGTTGCGAGCACACCGCAACCTACCAGAATCTTGTTGGAGGGTGTTGACAAGCGGGTTGTGACCCAATTCGCGGCCGAGATCAGAGAATGGAGACGCCCCGAGCCGTACAAGGGCAAGGGTATCTTCGTCAACGGAGAGACTATCAAGCTCAAGGCGAAGAAGATCAAATAGACTGGAGGCGCATTTCTTTTTTCAGCTACGCGGGACATTTTGTGTTTGGTTCCGTGTTTTGTACTCTTATCGTCACATATGTATTTTTTTATTCCTCCCACAAGCCATGGTATCACAAATCTACTTCAGACTGATTCTGCTCCCCGGGAGCTCAAGTGCAGTGGACGAGGCGACGAAATTAAGAATCATAAATCAATTACAGTTTCAGAACGGTCTTGACGGCATCAATGACCTGGTCCTGTTGGGCCTTGGGAGCAGCAACGACACCCTTGTTCACAGCCAAGGTCCGGCCTTTGCTGAAATCCAAGCGGTTGCCGTAGATGTCAGTCACCTGGCCACCAGCCTCGCGAACAATCAAGTCACCAGCGGCGTGATCCCAGATCTTCTCCTGATAATCCTTCTTGACGGGGAGACGCAAGTAGACGTCACCGGCACCACGGGCAATGGAGCAGTACTTGGCCTGCGAGTCCAGCCGTACGCTGGGGGCAGTGATGCCAAGAAGCTGAGCAACGGCGGCGTTATCGCCCTGGGCAGAGTGAGCAGCCTCAACACCTTCACAGAAGACGGCGTCGGAGATCTTGGCGACGGGACGCATGGAGATAGGCTTGCTAGCAGCAAGAGTACCATTGGCCAGAGGACGGCTGGTGGCACCCTCACCGAGGATAGCGGAGAACAGGACACCGTTTCCGGCAGTCGCGGACTGCTGGGCACCGGTGCTGGCATCAATGGGGGCAGCATCATCGACAGGGAGGTTAGGAGTACCAATAGCACCGACCTTGACGTCACCGTCAACAATTAGACCGAGACACACGGCGTACTGGCCGCCACGGAGGAAGCCCTTGGTGCCGTCGATGGGATCAAGCGCCCAGATGCGACCCTTAGGACCACCGGCACTGTTGCCGTTGTCAATGATGTCCAGCATGCTCTGCTCACTGGTGAGAGGGCCACCCAGAATATTATCGCTCTCCGCATCATCCAGCTTGATATCCTTGACCAAGCGCCAGATCTCAGCGCTGAGGTCCTTGTCCTCACGCAGGGAGCTGGCCTCCTCCTCGGCGACAATCTCGTCGTTGGGGAAGTTCTTGCGGATGGCGGAGATGATCAGGGCCTGAGCGCCGAAGTCGCCAATGGTGACGGGGGACTTGTCATCCTTGGAGACCGTGCCCTTGGCCTTCTCGAAGAAGACCTTCTGTGTAAGGAGACACGCCCGCTGGACGGCCAATTCGGCGATGAAACGTTCCTGTTGGTAAGACATGATTGTAGGTTGGTTGGAGGAAAGGTGGGGGAGGAGGAGGGAAAGACGAGAGCGGGATTTCAGAGCCACGCTGACGACTAGAATAAGGGTGGAGCAGACCACGAAGCGGGACAGTACGCGTAACAAATAGGAGCGTGGGGATGGATCTGTCCGGTGAGTAGACCAAAGCTTCATCCGAGATCAATTGGCAAGAAATGTAGCCAGGATTGACTACTCTTGCTTTCTCGAGGTCTTATTGGTTACTATTAGATTGCGAAAGTCGATTAATGACCTCTTTCTCATGTAGTTGGCCTCAGGCATTTTAGACCCCGCCCTAATCCCCTTTGGGCCGGAATAGTCACGAGGAGCCGATAAGCTTAAACTATCTCGACATTGTTTGAACTCCCTCTTCCCCTGTAATAAGGCCATTTTGCAATTTGGGTGCCTTCTTGAACAGACTGTCACACACCCCGTCTGCACTCGTGCCACTCCTCACCGCGCTTATCAAATTAACGCGCGCCAAGACCCCCTGGGACCTCCGACGTCACCGACACCACGTGAAGGTATCGCGAAAGCTCCCTGAGCCCTATATTATCTTTCACATCGTTAATCCCTTTTTGGAATTTTTCTAGCGAATCAACTTGTATCCTACCGCCGCCGATACTCGGTACATATATACCCAATTCCTGCGAACCCTTTGTGTAAACAACGCGTGCGGGGTTATTTCTATACCGAATCATAACGTGGGGTGATAGTGGGCTGTTTGGTACTAGGGACAATTTCCGATTCCCCAAACCTGTTCCTTCTCAAACTAAGCATACACTGTTCTGGAGGTTATCCCTTTACTAGGCCAATATGTTCCAGTCCTCCGTGAGTCACCAGGTGAAAATCGTACACCCTTCCAGCACCGACTGATATGAGTTTCAATAGAAACCGTACTCGGCAGTGACCGTACAAATTGAGGTCCTTACGAGCGAACAATATGAGGTCGAAGATTCGAGTGGTATTGTCGATCTAGTGGAAGTAGTTCGCATCCAGGCCAGCGGCCCAATGGAAGCAAGTCGGGCTCTTCGCAAGAAGCTGTGAGTCTACAAGTATTGAAAGTGCTCAAACCTAGTCTGACCAATTTAGAAAATATGGCAATATCCATCGACAACTGCGCGCACTTACTATTCTCGACTTCCTTGTTCAAAATGCTGGAGAACGTTTCTTGCGCGACTTCGCCGATGAGGCATTGCTTGAACGTCTGCGCATTGCAGCTACTGATTCCGTTTCCGATCCACTCGTGAAGCAGAAATGCAAACAGATTTTTGGACAGTGGGCGACAACTTATAAGGACACTCCTGGTATGGCGAAGGTCACGGCGCTATACAAACAAGTTCCCAAGCGAAAGCAGCCTGCGACGCAGGCAAAAGCCAAGGTTCTCCGCGAGGGCTCGACTGCGAATTCAAACGAGCCCCCGATGGGTCATGCTGTATCCGTGTCAGGGGGCAATGGACCATCCACTTTGCTGACCAGCCCCAAAGAAAAGTCCAAGTCCAGGAAAGTCAAGAAAGATAAGAAACTATCAATTAGCCACAAGAGGTTTGATTTGGAAAAGGAACGCCCGGAGATCCTCCAAGCGCTTGCTGCCTCTTCTGTTGCTAGCACCAATCTGTTGAATGCTCTGAAACTCGTCAATCGCGAGACGCACCGAGTGAGCGAGGATGCGGAATGCATTAACCGATTCGATACATGCAAGCAGCTTCGTCACACGATCCTTCGATACATCCAGTATATAGAAACCGAAGAGTTCCTGGGCGGCCTGATCCATGCGAACGAGGAGCTGGTGGATGCCTTGATGGCATTTGAGGTCCTAGACAAGAGTGTGGACTATGATAGCGATAGTGAGGACGACATTTTGGAGGGCAATTGGAAGCAAAGACATGGACTTGGAATGGAGGACACGGACGTGAATAATGGCCTTGCTGGGCTAAATATCAATCCCCCAAAGCCGCCACGACCGAATCGTCCTGATAGCCTGCCTCTCGCATCTTCGTCGCAACACTCACGCCAAGTATTTGACAGTGAGAGTGAGTCGGAGGAAGAGGATGATGAAGACAACCCCTTTGGGGACAGAAATGCTATTAAGACCCCGGCTGTTGAGAAACCTGGACTTACTTGGTACGTCATTCTTCCTCTCTCTATTACACCTTATGATATTAATATTCCTACAGGAAAGAAGTCTGATTCATTCATTTGTTTACAGAGCTGAAGCTCGCGATCTTTATTTTGCGCTTTGACCTTTTGGTTTCTTTCATACATTGTCTGGTCTAGTGCTTGATCGGTATACCCAAAGCTATTGGCTATCGTGTTGCTGAAAGGTGAACATCCATTTTGTCGCTGGCGTCTCGGGTGTATGTACTCTTAAATTGATTGGACATTGATTGCATTACATTTCTGTGAACCCTTTGTTGAATTTCGAAGCGAACGTATACACTAGCTTGTTTTGACTTAGCTTCTAGCGTTAAAGCCGAACATTTGTAAACACCCGCCGATGATAAATCAGCAATCTTTGTATGAAGCACATCGAATGATGACGGATTAGTCAATTAGCACCGAGAATTAGTTAGATGACGTCTCCAACAGCTGCCTACAAACCGCCCCCACCCTGGACAGACGTATAAAACAACGTGCAACCCCAAAAATCGAATACACCAGACATATTCCTCCTTAAATCACCAAAAAAACAGCCCATCTATTCAAAGAGAAGACAAAATGCCAGTGACCGAACTTGCCCTCCTTCATCTGAAAGCGCAAGACGCCCACTCTTCTACCAAAACCGGCCTCGTAGAAGCCCAAAAGAAACAGACAGGATACTCAGAGCATCAAGTCACATACCTCCGCCAGATCGAAGACCCGTCATCCTTTTATCTACTAGGCGGATGGGAATCTGTCGAGAAACACACAGGCGAAGGCCAATGGCTTTCATCAGAAGTCAACCAGAACCTGCTCGCGCGGTTGCAGAGCGATCTTGATGTTAGCTGGATGTTTCACTTGGATGTCGATGTGAGTCTTTCAATCTTGACATGAACTAAGTTCATAATTCAAGGTGTTTCATCAAGAAATATAAGCTAACGGATCCAGCCATCTACATCCGAAATCCCACTGGATGCACCTGTTCTCGCTATAACTCGATGCTTTGTCGAGGCTAGCAAGAAAGATGAATTTGACGCTGTTTTTAAAGATGCTGTTTCTCATTTGAATGCATACACGGCTCCGTTCTCTGCCTGCGGTGCGTGGCGTATCGATAAAGAGGGTGAGGATGAGGAGTTTGTTCTTTTTAGTGGGTGGAATCAAGTTCAGGATCATATTGCTTTCGGGGGATCTGAGGCTTCTAAGGAGTTCGGAAAGCTTAAGACGTTGATGAAGGACGCGGACGTTAAGCATGTACATGTTGAGAAGTGGGAGTAATTGACTATGTATGTACTTTCATTTATCTATGTGGTATCTCTCGTGAGGTTATTATGTTATGTCCTAGGCACGGATGTGCCGTTGAGAATGAATTGCACCAATGCTTTCCTACCATCCAGTTTGAGTGGTGCCTCTATGTGCATGGCACCGAGGACGTCTTTCCTTTCGATTTCCAAGCCGAGAGACTTAGCATGCTTTTCTAGCTGTTCGGGTACGTATGACGGAATGACTTCATCTTTCTCGGCTGATAGAAGAAATATCGGCGGAAGCGAGCGAGGTATTGAGGCCGTAGCAACAGAGTTAGGGATTTGAGTCGCAGGTTGGTCTCTCCATGTAGCCATTTGTTTCATCTTTGCCTTGATATCCCAGGTATTCCAAGAGAACGGCCAAAGATACCTGTACGGAAGCCACTTCTGAGGATAGAGGCTGATGAGCATATCTTTGATGCTGGATGTTGGCGCCTCCAAAATGAGCCTTGAGATGGGCGCTAGGGGCTTGTTACTGCTTATATTTGAGGTTTGCCCTTCATGCTGGCGGGGGATATACGTAGATACTGCTGAGCTTGCGACAGCAGCACCAAGACTGTGTCCCCAAATCACAATCTCAAGGTCGGTTTCTGGGGACAAGTATGTTTCCGAAATCCAATTCAAGAATGCCTGCGCATCCATCTCAATTCCGGATTGTGTGGCGCGACCAGATGATGTCCAGTAGCCGCGGTATGATAGAGCAGCGATAGTATATTGAAACACTTCGGGGCCAGATATAGAAGACGAAGTGGATCTTGATGTTTCCGCAATTGCGCGCAAGACGTGAGAGAGAATAGGCAATCGCATGGGGGTCGATCCACCATTGCCTTGGAAGTAACAGATCACGAGTGATTTTTTGCGTTTTGGAAATTCTCTCCCCTGGTCTTTATTTTGTAAAGCACCGGCATTTGAAAAAGAGTCATGGGCCTTGCGTGGAACCGGAATGTGACCTTCACAAACAGCCAATCTAGTCCCATCCAAACTGCGAATCTGCTTCTCCTCCCACTGCACCGGTCTGCACTCAGCCTCATAGTCTGAAATGACCTCAGATCTTGTGAATGGAGGCAGCCATGAGAGGTAGAGGAGCTTGTTTTGCATGACGATGATCCAGAAACATTTCCAGATCCATAGACCGAGTAGAAGCCCGATGAACATGAGAGGTGGTACAGCAAAGCTTGGAATAGCGGCTGTAATTAGATCTCGTGATTGAATATTTGGCCGTACATTCTGAGCGATGCTCGGTCTCTTTCTTGTGATGCTGTGGATGCCATTGATGCCATTTGACGGGATGTTATTATAAGGACTTGGCGATGGCTGCCGCGTGTGGGTTGATTTTGTTATGGGGTTTGCACCGCGCAGCGCGCGTCGCAGGACCCAGCGTGCCAGCATCAGCAGAATTGGATACCAAGATATTGGTTGGGTTGGAGGTTGTTGGATATTGCGGTTTACTGGGTGGAGTGTAGCGGCTAGGCCTTGACTCAGCAAGTCTAACACCCGTGGACCCAGGGCCTCAGGACCAGGTCTAAAGTGAACTGTCAAGCAACCTTTCGTGCTCAATTGATGTATATTTTCCTCAATAAATTATAGTGTGGCTAAGATGGGATAATCCTTTTATTTGATCACTTTTAACTAAAGATATGTAAAAAAGTAGATTCAATTTGAATCACGCATACAAGATATATTCCATTAGAGCCACCGAACAAAATCGAAGCCCCAACACGCGGTGAAAATGATAGCAATGTGAATATTCAAATGGGTATTGTGAGTCGTCATCTGGAGTCATGATATGAAAAAGCACAAAACGCAACCGCATGAACAGAAAGGAGAAAGACGAATCCCTTCCCAAGACGCCAAAAGACGAAAATCGCAAACCAGCCATGCAGTGATGCAAAATGAATTCTCACAGCACCTTGGATCTCATCCACTCACTCGTACCAACTCCAAGGTTCAAACCATTCCGCTCCCACCAACGCCGAACACGACCCTCAGCACCGGAGCTCGGATCAGCATCCTCAAGCGCTTCCTCAATATCACAAGTCTTGAATTCAACCCGCATACCGCAGGATTTCCACCATTGCAGAACGTGGTCGTGGCCGTTCTTCGTCGGGCCAACCAGCACCTGGTTATCAAAGATCATCTTCGGGCCCTTGAGTTTATACCAGAATTCAAGGACATGGACATGGCCGTGCGTGCTCGCGATACGGGCAACGTTTTCGGCGTGGCTGTATGGGATCCCTGATGCATCCCACCAAGCAAGAGATGCAGTGCGACCTGACTGCGCTGCGAGTAGGACGGATTTGCCGACTTTGAGAGGTAAGGGTTTGGATACTGGGGCGTTTGCGGAGGCGGTTCTCCACCAGTCGAGTACGGTGACTCGACCTTCGGCGCTGGCGGCTTCGAGGGCACGCTCGCTATATCTTAGCGGGAGCCCCGAGTGGAGCCACCAATCTAGTACGTCAATGAACCCAACTCGGGAGGCGCCGTCCATGGCGTCGGCCATGTACTCTTTGTTTGGGAGAGCGGGCGCATCGCGCCACCATGTCAGTACGTTCGGGTTGCCATAGATTGCGGACGCTCGGTATGGAATATTTGTGAGTCTAGAGGTTGTCCAGAGGAGGTCCAGGTGATTTTCGGTGAGATAGGAAAGGATATCGGTACGGGAGAATTTGACAATGAGGTGGCAAGCGAGATCGGAGAGCGGTTTCCAGCGAGGTAAGGCATCAATGCGCTTTTTGATTGCCGCGAAGGATCCTCGCAAGATAGTATATTCGAGTGTGGCAGTAGTGGACATTTTGGGTAGATGGCTCTGCCATTCTTGGGGGACAGGGAGATGGGTTGGAATGCCCACGGCTTTCGCTGTTTCCCAGTCTCGCAGTTGATCCTCAAAGACATTCAGCCATATTTCCAGTGGTAAAAAATCGGCATCGCCTGTATGTTTCGTTTGTGGTGCGGAGCCGGTGGCACTTCCAGATGTAGATTTTGATGCAGTCTTAGCCGGGACCGTGGCGCCATGGGCGATTGCCCTGGTCGACAGGGTAGCTTCCCATGGCGGTAGTTTTAATGTTGTCTCCAGTGTCTGGTGTAACTCGCTCAGCCCGTCCCATGGTAGTAATGTCAAGTCTTCGGGCCCGTTTGACTTCCAGAGGACAGGTTTGACAGTGCGAATCCAAGGCCAAAAACGACTTATTTCATCGAGTTGTCGAGTGCTGAGCGGGTGATCCCATTCCGACACCGTCATTCCTGGAATGAGGATCACAGGTTTCTTCGAGACCCAGCCACGAAGAAGCGCCAACGTCAAGGTATTCGTCAAGCCGGCCAACATCGCTCCCAGAGCTCCGGCATCGATAGGCGCAACTAACAGCATGTCCGCCCATTCGCACAGCTCCGCAGTCTTCGCCTTAAGCCATTTCCGCGCGCCGGTTTTCTTATCAAATGTTTGGCTGTCAACCGTATCCATGTAGTGCGGGATTTTGTTGGTGCCCGTGAGCAACGCGGAGGGTTCGTCTGTGATCAGTCGCAGCTCGATGTATGGGTTTTGAACGAGGGACGGGAGGACGGTGTCAGCGAAAGCACTATCCGTCGACAAGAGCAATCGGCGGCGCCGACGTTGAGATGATGTCGCATTTTGCACCGCTTTATTTTCAATCACGGCTTCCTTAGAGCCTCCATCTACCTCCATATCACTTGCCCACGACCCCTTTGTAATGCTATCCTGTTTTGCAGTCGTTGAAGTATCAGATCGAAATCCCACTGCCATGCCAATGTGACCGATAAGGCGAGCTGAACTGTATGAGGATAAGGCGGTCGGATTGAAGAAATCTCGCGGGAAAGGTATACGTAGGCGCAAATAGTAGAGAATCGGGGTCGAGAGGCGATGAAACAAGATCAATTGGAGACTTCCGTACTGTACGTAGAGATAAGTTATCGGACTGGTGGTCTGATCAGAGCCCAATCATGCAACCCAGGAATTGAAGTCGAGCCAGGCGCTTTATTCTGTGCAACGGCGATCAACTGGTTTCCTCCAGCGGTGAGGTCGTTGAGTTGGCTGGATGTGTCGCCACGTCTTTGCCACATGGGACGTGATTAGCTGCCGAATGAACAGTGTCGTTTCACAGCGAAAAAAGGCCGAGATCCTTTTGAAGGAGAGATTCACCAATGATAAACCAATGACAAAGAGCCAAAATCTAGTTCGAGGGTCTTCAGCGGTTACAGACGGGGCCGTACGGCAGGAGCTCAGATTGATTGGCCAGTTGTTGGGCAGAAGCGGTCTGCCTAAGATCAACATGCTTTTAGTACAACTTGAGTTCTGTACAACTCCCACAAATGTTTCTTTCATGCTTTTCTATTGGTCTGTTCCTGTATTTTACTGCTGCTGGCTTGTTGGGTTCATGTCGGTTCAGTATTTAAATGCGAACCCCGACACCGCGGTACAAAAGGGAGTTGAACTAGATCAATACCAAGGTGCTTTATATATATGCTGATCTACATAACGAATGCTCACTCTATCGTCGGGCCAGATTATTATGCAGCTTGTGCTCTCTCATAGCGAGACTCGCCAATGCTCCCAGGACGGCCAGACCCAACAATGTCACGAATACCGCCCGTAAGGAGTCCATGTATGCGTCAAGCACTCCGGGTGTAAGGCCTGCGGGCATCTTCCAAATCTCGTCTAAGCTATCTCGAAGCCGGCCAATCAGCTCCTTGGCGTCCTCGCGCTCACCGAGTCGAGACCAAAGCCTAAGCTTTAGGGTGTTCTGGAAGACAGCCGAAGCGACCGTGATACCAATCGTACTTCCAGTGCTGCGGAAGGCATACGAAGCAGATGTCACAACCGCATGGTGCTGGTGGTCTACAGAAGATATGAGCGCCACCAGGGTGATGGTTAGCATGCTACCGTAGGATGCACCACCCATGAAGAAATAGAGGAACGGCAGTCCCACGGGCGTGTAGAGATTCAAAGTGCAGATGAGGCCAGCGGAGAGCACCTGAATAGCCATGGCAACATAATTGAGGAATGCATACCGACCGCTGGCACGCATGATGAGACCCGATCCCAAAGAACCAATCGAGGTGCCGATCGCCTGCGGGATTAATCGTGCACCGGCAGCAGTCGCAGAAAGTCCCTGCACCTGGAAGTACACGGGTAGGTAAAAGAGGAGACCGAAGACGGCCATGGTACCGAACCAATTGGTCAGACAAGCAGCTGCCACGGTGCGATCTAGTAAAAGGCGCACGGGAATGACAGGCTCAGAAGCAACCATGGCTTCCACGTAAATGAATAGACCCAGGGAGACTACAGACGAAACCAGCGATGTCAGCACTAGAGGATGGGTCCAGGGCACCTGGTTTCCGCCGGTGTTGAGGCCAAGTAATAATGTGACTAGTGTCAGAACCAGAGTGATAGCGCCGAGGAAGTCAACACGTTTGATGCGTGCGGTATCGGACTCTTTCACGGGAATGTCGACTTTAATTGCGACTAGAACGCACGAGATAATCAGGAAGGGAACCTGGAGCAAAAACGCCCATCTCCATCCCAGAGTATCGTTGATCCACCCGCCAAACACACCTCCAAGACCCATGCCCGCACCGTAGCAGATGTTTCCGATGCCCTGCCAGATGCCTCGCTTGCGGAGAGGGACCAGGTCAGAAGTGACGAAGGTCGAAATCGCGGTGAGACCGCCCCCTCCGACACCTGCCACGACACGCCCAAGGATGATAACCCATTGCGCTCTTGCCAGGCCGCAGATCAAGTTGCCAAGGGCGAAGAAAATATTGGAGAACACAAGCCCCCAGCGACGAGAGTAAATATCAGTCAATCGGCCACTGAGAGGCTGGCAGGCGGCATTGGAGATCAGATAAGAAGTGGCTAGCCACGAGAGCAGTGAGAATGAGTTGAAGGACGAAGAGATTGGTGCGGAGAGCGTCGCGACGATCGTTGTATCTGTGATGAAGGCCAATGTTAGTAATCTTCGTTTCTTGCGAAAAGAGTCAGAGTTCATACCGAGAGCAGCCAGGAAGACACCGAGCCAGATGCTTCCGAGGATCCAAATCAGCTCCTTGGTACTGGGTTCCTGGGGTAGTGGGGTATTTTCATTGGCATCGGGCGCATCCCGAAGGAGGGGCGTTTGCTCAGATGCAGGCTCTCTGGCAGTGTCATCAGCAGACATGTTGTAATGTCCAAGAGTGAACCGAACCTCGGAAGTTTTCCAACAGGGAGATTGCCAATGGTGTGCTCGGGGCCTCGGCGGAATCTCCGACGGAGCTGCGATGATGTGGGGTCGACCGGGGTGTCAGTTCGGGGAGACTCGTAAAAAGTTCCGTCAGACTCGTAAAATTGATTATATAATTGATTATTTTCGAGTCTCCATCAGGTCCTAGAGCTAAGTTAGTTAACTATGTTGTAGTTAACTAGTTTGAGGGAGACTCGAAGATAATAAATTATGTAAGCCATTTTACGAGTTTCCATGAACCGGAACCTGGTCGACTATAACGGCTGGAGCGGGTGTCTTATTGGTTGATCTATACCTACATGTATGTTGTAGGTATGAAATGCTCTCCATTATTTATGGTTGGATCATCCTATAGCTGCTTAATTTTTTTTAGTAGACTCAGTCTTATTTGGATAGTGTGCGGAGTATAAATGCCCTAGATTAGGTACTTTGAATGATCATGATTCTTCCTCTTCTATTTACCTCCATTGTAGTAGCCAGAAAAGAAAGTATGAACTTGGCTTGTATGTAGAAACAAAGTGATAGTTATAACCGAGAATGGCCAACACTCTCTAGTCTTATTGGAAATGGTTCTTCGGTGTCCAGCGGCAGTTGACCACCCAGGTGCCTGGCCGGCCATTATATATAGGCACTCTATACCCCTAAACTAACATTATAACACTACAGATATATTAAACAAACTATATTTGAACAAACCGTAACCAAATATCTTATCTACCACCGACTATCCTATTATAGGGGAGGAACAGCCGGATTGGTGGTTGCTTCCCGTCTCTCAGAGGACCTAGGTATCTGTGTCATCCTTTTGGATGTCGACCCGATGTCTCGTATGACTATTAAGTTCAAGAACTCTTAGTGTAGAACTCTTGGAGCGGATCGGAGCATAACTGGAAAATAAAGGTTGTCCCCTAGGTTTGTTGTATCTGACACTCGAGTTAAGGAGAAAGTTCGCTCACATTATATAAATTAAGGCAGCTACAGAAGTTATCCTTGGGGCTAGTGCTTTACATATATCCAAGCTACTAGAGCTGTCGGGATTGATGGCAAATACAGATTGAACCGTCTCCGGATCCTCTTGGTGAGTGATTAACCAGCGGCGAACCTCTAGAACAATATGAGTATGTTTCTTGTTCCCCTCAACCCTAATCTAGACTTCGAGGGGATATCCCTTGGATTAAATGGTGCGACATTTGTACGTCTCAACTAACAGCAGCAAAGCAAGTTGCTTGCTGAATGCTCCAAGTCTGTGGGTTTAGCTGGACAGGTCATTCGATCCATTCTAAGGAGTCCCGATTAAGCCTTTGCGGTCCTCCTAATGACTGTAGTACCGGTAACATAGTGATACTGAGCATTATAAAGAGTTTTGCCTTCTCGCTAGGGGGAGTTATATCACACCGGCAGATCTAACCGAGATGTCCACCATTGAGATGCCATACTTCAGCGATGATCTGGATATAGAGATCCGGGCCATGTCCAAAGCTTGCATCATTTAATCGTAGCTCCAGCTTTGCAGCGATTTCTACAGGTTGTCGATGCGAGTATTTTCCCGCTCATTACCAATGCAAACCCGATTGCGACAGTGTATGCCGTCGTTGAGCGTGATGCTGATATCATTCGTGAGGTCTGTAGGTCGGACATGAGATCAACTTTCTAGATGTGTGAGACTGGATGAAATTGTTTCTTTCCTCTTTTCGTCCTAGGAAATTAATTGTATGAGAAAAAGAAAGTGGAAGAGGAGAGATAAGCAAGGAAAGGGCTGGGTAGGTCTTTCCAGTTATATTCCTTCATCACCTTTAATTCAAGCCCTCAATCACTTTATCACCTACTCATTTCCATTGCTCCAGAATTTCCATCATGAACGAACAAATGTCCATTGTTGTTTTGCCGATGATTGGCGTCCCTCTTATCTCGTTGGCAGCAGCATGGATCCAGCACTCTATTGCCAAGTTCCGGATGTGGATGACTGTCCGAATAATTGAGGTCTTTGAGAAGGATCTCGAAACCTCTACACACAAAGTGGTTGTACTGGAGAAAGAGATGAACGAGCTCAAGAAGCAGGTGGAAACGGAATTACCGGCTTGGGACAGCGTGCTGCGTACGATTCTACCAGACACACCAACCTTAGAGTAAGCCCAGGTTGCACACGAACAGGCAGAGTGGGTAAAAGATAGGACACACGAGACTTAACAGAAGCTCGCCGTTTTCACAAACGAGCTACATTCTCTTTGTGAGACGTTGGTGATCCAAGGTGACAGGCTGCGAGCCCTTCAGTAAGAGCTAAATCGATATCGGTTAGTATACTATTTCCCACCGTTTACCTATATATATTGCTTGCTACTGCAGATCATGCATATTAGTTGACCATCTTGTACAACCAATGGTTGGCTGTAACTAAATTCTTTGACCCTTTCGCTGCGGCCTACATGTACCCATATTCTCCTACTACAGAATCTGTCTTGCCAACAGCCTTTGCGTCACAATGGTGTGGCTTCAAAACGACCACCATGATTGATGAACCTCCCAATATTTAAAGAACGAGTCTCTCTAACAATTGTTCAAACAACTGGTAACGATGGAGAAATCAGCTGTAAATTTGGTCTTTTTCGTCATGGCGCTCCGGCCATCGAAAGCATGCGGATAAGCAAAATCTAGAACTCAGGAGACCGGGTAAACCTTTAACAAAGGATCTCTCGGACCATGCCGGTGTCAGAGATCTACAAATTACAATGAAGTGCAGAGCAGGAGTAGCAGTCCCCATGTGGAGATCTAAAGGAACAAGACGCGAGACATATTTACTATCTAGATTAAAGGAGTATGGCAAAGTGCAAACACCTTCAAGGTTAGTCTCTATTACATTACCTTGAATTAATATCTACACGTCTGTAGGTACATCACAAGATACAATCACTCAGAAGTGCCGATTCCAACAGCCTTGGACCGAAATAGGGGGTGTTCTCCGCATTTGTGGAGATCCCCGGATTTCTCCTGACTCGAAGGAAATAAGATTTCCGTTTGGCATTTCCGGCTTCTCCTTGTCATCATCCCGCTGTTTCGTCTAAGTTACTTCGCCCTTTCGTTGCTTGGTCAGCCGGGTTATTTGCTAACGTATTTCACCACCGAGCCGCCCACACCACCAAGCCGCCCACCCCAAAACACATAGTAAACGTGATATTTTATAACCCTATATCTTAACAACCACGCGTTTTACTGATTTCATTTGCAATACTATATATCAATATTAAGAAAATCGAAGGGGTACATTATTACGGTATTAAAATTTACAGTGTAAAAAGCCAGAAATATATATATATCGCAATCACAAGGTTATATATATTTCCCAAACTCCCTAGAAAAGCTAGAAATTACGTAAAAAGCATTAGCCTATAACGAAATCTCTATATAAACTGCTGTTGTTGAGAAATCAAGCTGTAATTTATCGCATTTACTATGTGTTTTGGGGTGGGCGGCTTGGTGGTGTGGGCGGCTCGGTGGTGAAATACGTTATTCTCTCCGCCTTACGGCATTGCTCATTCGCTCTTGCCCCACTTACTAGGTACCCGGCTAAACTTCGGACGTTTCAGTCCTTTCGTCATGGATCTGCAGGACTGGCCCTTCGGGTATTTCTTATCCTTACATTTGCCGTCTCAAGGTCTGTATATGATACCAATGATACAGCCACCATGAAAGTAGGAAACATACCTCGGAGCAAATAGCCAGCTATTAAAGGCCGCCGCTCTGCAGATATCGCAGCCTGAGCATTTTCCACGGTCTCTCCCCAATATGACTCGTCTTCATGCATTGCCTTTGTTGGCAGTCATGGGCTCGCTTGCCCTGGCTAGCCAAGATGCCTTTCAATCAAAATGTATCAATTTCGGTGATCACATTGACATTCCCAATGTCAAAGTCAACTTTGCCGAGTTTGTGCAGGGAGGCACCAACCTATCGTTGGTAGACAATCCGCCTAGCTGTGGTAGATCGAACCAGGCCGTCTCGGTAGACCTGTGCCGAGTCGCCATGGCCGTGTCAACCTCAAATAGCAGCGAGATCACGCTAGAGGCTTGGTTCCCTCGTGAATATAAGGGTCGTTTTTTGAGCACCGGAAATGGTGGCATCTCTGGGTGTAAGGGTTGTTTCCAAACCTAGCATCTTGCGACAAGCTAACCTCAACGCAGGCATTCAATATTATGACCTCGCATACACCGCACAGCTAGGGTTTGCCGCTGTCGGAGCTAACAACGGACACAATGGTACCTCAGGAAAGCCTTTCTACCACAAACCTGAGGTAGTCAAAGATTATGCATACCGTTCCGTTCACACTGGAGTTGTAATCGGCAAGGAGCTTACCAAAAAATTCTACGATGAGGGCTTCAAGAAGAGCTACTACCTCGGATGCTCGACCGGTGGCCGCCAAGGTTGGAAGTCAGTTCAAAAATACCCCAACGACTTTGATGGGGTCGTTGCCGGTGCCCCCGCCATAAACTTAATCAACCTGTTTTCATGGAGCGCACGTTTCTACACTATAACTGGCTCGCCAACTTCCGACACATTTCTGTCTACGGATGAATGGAATATTGCCCACGAAGAGATCCTCCACCAATGTGATGCTATTGATGGTGTCGAAGATGGAATCATCGAAGATCCCGATCTCTGTCGCCCTGTCCTGGAAACATTGACTTGTGACCCCAGTGCCTCAAATAAAACAAGCTGCCTTACAAGCGCCCAAGTGAACACAGTCCAGCAAGTGCTATCGCCATTTTATGGAATCAATGGCACCCTGTTGTACCCCCGCATGCAGCCTGGCTCCGAGATCCTCGCCGCGCCTATAATGTACAGTGGCGCACCGTTCTCATACAGCGAAGACTGGTACCGTTACGTCGTTTACAACAACCCGTCCTGGAGCGGGGCCAACTTCACATTGAAAGATGCTGCTGTAGCTCTCGCTCAAAATCCGTACAACATACAAACGTGGGAAGGCGATATCTCTCCATTCAAAAAGACCGGCGGCAAAATCCTGCATTACCATGGCCTTCAAGATCCGCTGATTAGCTCCGAAGACTCTAAGATGTACTATTCTCACGTGTCAAATACCATGAAACTACCGCCCAATAAGTTGGATGAGTTCTACCGCTTCTTCCAAATTAGCGGTATGGCCCATTGCGGTGGGGGCGATGGTGCCTATGGTATCGGTCAGGGAATAGAGACTTACGATGGGACCAATCCCGAGGATAATGTTCTTATGGCAATGGTGCAGTGGGTCGAGGAAGGCAAGGCACCAGAGACTGTTCGTGGTGCTAAGTTCTCCAACGGGCCTGGCTCTAAGGTCGAGTACAGGCGTAAGCACTGCCGCTGGCCTCGACGCAATGTGTTTAAGGGTCCTGGAAACTACACCGATGAGAACGCTTGGCAGTGTGTTTAGGCCTGCTTGCCACTTTTTATGTATAGGACCAATTCCGTCTACCTCTAAATTCCATCGAACTGTTGTTAGACTTGATCAATCCCATTCCGCTCATGTACAAAGAGGATGTAGTTAAACAACCTTGGAAGGAGGTCATATCGGCAGAAAATAGACGGAATTCATCGGCAAAAACAATGTGCTCCGGAGCAATGGCAGACCGCCTCGCAGCCTGCCCCGGCTGGATTGCAGATCAGTTGAGCTTTGGAACCTCTATAATTCCGCTAATCCTTTCTCGCTTATATATGACTTTTATATGAACCATTGCAAATTTTGAAAGACGACAATATATTACTACCCCCACTATCCTGCGCACGGATCACCATTTGAAGCACCCCATCGAAGCTACCCCTCGTATCGCGTATATAGCAGCAAGAATCCCGCGCACTCTCGAGTTTCGATTTCACAGCCTACCCGTGACCCGTCCGACCTACCAGTGTACTTCTCCAGTTCCAATCGCAATGACAGACCCAGGGATGGACCAGTTCGCACAGACTCGCGGCGCCGACGACCTATTCGACGATGAGATTATCCCGATATCCACAGAAGAACAGCAGGCGCAGACAGAGGTCATTACTCCCGATCCAGAGCCAGAGCCAGAGCCACAGGAGGTACAGGTACCCGAGAAGCCAGCTCCCGAGCAGCCGATTCCACGTGGGGAGACTCCGCAGCGGGGCCGTGGCGGTGAACGAGGCCGGGGACGACGGGGTCGGGGTAAAGGAGGGCGCGGTGGACGGGAGTCAGAGCAAAAGCGGTCAGAAAGCTCTCCGCGCAAGAAGAACCCTGTCAATGCGCCTGCTGCCGATGCGCGCGAGGCTGGTTCTTTGAAATCGAAGCCTGAGAAGCCCGAGAAACCCGTTGAGACTAAAGAGCCCAAAGAGCAGACCGATCCGATTGAAGAGGGTAATGGTGAAGATCTGAATGCGAATGGAGCCGAGGCCCAGCGTGTCCCGGCTGTTCGTGGTGATCGGAGTGCCACTGGTGGCCTGAGAAAGGTGTGTTGTCCTGCCATTAGCAATATAACGAGGGTATCAAGCTGACTGTTTACTTCCAGCCTAAACTCACGGAAGAGGAACTATCGAAACGAATTGCTGCAGCCAAGGAGAACGCCGTAAAGAAGGCTGCTGCTCACGCCCGCGCCGAAGCTGATCAGGCTTCGTTCATGGAGCGCGAGCAGGAGGCAGCGAAGAAACGTCGCGAGGAACTCGCGCACCGCCGCGTAATGGATAGTGAACGTGAGAAAAACAGACAGCGGAAACTTAAGGCCCAGACGGGGCGTGAGTGGGACTCGCAGAAACGCGAGGAAGATTATGACCCCCGTGGTGGTGGCAGTCAATTCCGACGCGGTATGCATGGTGGTGTGTCTGGCGCCGTGCGACGAGACTTCGAAGATGCCCGTTCAGAAGAGGCTGCAGATCACTCTGGTGGCAACCGCGGTCGTGGACGCGGTGGTCGAGGTGGCCGTGACCGTGGGTCACCGCGTACCCCACAGGGAGATCGGCGACGCAAGGGCTTATCTGACAGTATATTTGCAACAGAGAGCCCTGCTGCACTGGGGCTGGATGATAAGAGTGCATTCCCGGCTTTGCCTGAGGCACCCAAGAAGACTGAGATGAAGAAGACTGAGACTAAACCTGCTCCCACGCCGGAGACTAAGGCTAAGACTGAGACTAAAGTCGAGCCCAAAACTGAAACCGAAAGTGCTCCTGCGGCTTCCAAGCCACAATCAGCGATGGATAAATTAGACTCTACATTTTCACCCATAACTGGAACTTGGGCAGACCAGTTTGAGGATGAGTGATGAAATGTCTCGTTGGGAGTCTCATTGGGTAATGACTTTTTTGGGAGGTTTTATTATCATTGTTTTTTTTTACGATTTTCTTTCTGCATTCATGACATGAACAGACTCCTGTTTCCCTCACTTGCAATTTGATATCCCACCTGCTTTGTAGCCTCGATTGGTGGCTCAGATGCAAAAGTCCGCCAGCATTACATATACGTACATTGCCGCCCATAGCAAACGATGCTTTCTGGAATTATGACATTGGTTACACCTTTGCTTCTTATGGATTTTAGAACAAGCATAATAGGCCCCTTATGGCTTCTGTCCTTGACGATGTATTTCAGTAATCCGATCCGTTTAGCTAGAGATGAGATAACAGGCATTATATATGAGATTCTTCTACGGTGTCTTTTTTGGATATTCTCTACCGCAATATCTCCCCGGTGTTCCTCGGAGATCTCTTCTCCCTTTGCAAGTAGTACGTGACGAGGAAGCACCTGAAGGCTAAGTCGATGCGTGAGGGTTGTCCGCACAATACTGTAAGGAACTCCTTCGACATATTGACTTTCAGCACAATACTGGCAACAGCTTCAATATCAGCAGGGTAATTTGTGAACCCGATTTGAATCCTCGAGCGTACGGCGCCGCCTCTCTCTCCTTCCAAGACTTCGTGCCTCTGTCGGTAGCTGCCACTTTTGATATTATAATCAGTCGACGTGGACACTGAAGGATCATCATCTAACAAGGAGTTGTCGTTGATGTCGTCGTCTTCTAGAGAAGGATCGGCAGGGCTTCGTAATGTGGCTTTGGTGGCAGATTAGTTGATCCGGATGTAATGTGTTTGTTGCTTTGGGATCCATTGGTTATCTACGCCGTTGTACTCCGCTAGCATGCCGTATTGCGTGAATCTCGACCAGTTCATTACATGGTGCCAAGTGTCATCGTTGATTAGACGATGTATGCGGGTCAGCTTGTCTAGATGTTGGTAGCTGTACACCATGTCTTTATCGAACTCGAGATGGGTTGTCTGCGAAGTCCCTGATCCTCCCAGTCTGGTATGGTACATGACTTGAGTCCACTATCCAAACGTCGATAATGTCTTCTATAGATGAGAGCTAGTTAGCCGTATGAATCCTCTTCACTCAACAAGAAGTCCGAAACTTACTTCAACACCGCGAGAAACCCGAAAGCATGGCCCCGGATACCTTCATAGAGCCGGAAAAAGAAATCCCAAGTAAATGTATAACGCGATTGCGACGACACCGAAGACCCAAGAGATATATACCAATTCACATTTATCGCGAGCTCTGAAACACCCCTGGCAAAGTTTAGAGGTACCTGCTTCTCGGATACAGTTAACCTTGAATAGCTGGTTACACGGCTTTATTTCATTCGTGTACTGGTTGTTTTGGCGGTAGCAGCAGTTTTCGCCATGATGGAAAGATGATAAGGCGATCATGTCAGAAAGGTGGACGAGAAGAAATAGAAACCTGACTGTGAAGTGAAAGGATTGCTAGGTGGTTATGTAAAGGCATAAAATAGAACTCCAAAAGTTGTTATTGATCCCATCTCCCGTTGTTTGCTTGCAGACTGGGCGGCTCGTTTGTCAGATTCAAGGTACAAATACCCTGCTTTTCCTAGATTGGATACACAAGGATTCTGCTTCTTCTTCCTCCCCTAGTAGCTAGTAGCTATAATAGTTATGCCTCTAGACTGTATAGATTCTCCTCTGTAATTTACCTATTCATAAGAGCCAGCTTTAGTCAATCTCACTACCTATTTATAATTGACTACATTGGGTAGCACACGGGCATGTTCTTTGTTTACGCTATACATTTTAGGGAAAAGCCATTTTCTCCATTTGTCCTGGTAAGTCCGAAAAGACGGGATGTTCCATGAATGTGAGATCTGATGTCTTCCAAATGGTCGAGCTTTGGATCTGCAAACTCCGTTTATACTAGATGGAGTACAGAAGGCACAATTCAATGTGGAGAGGGTGTTCCGATATAGGGATCACCTCGAGGCTGCCGTGAAAGGTGCAAGACCGAGCAAGATGAGGAATCCCCTAACAAGCGGAGATCTCCAGCAATTTACAAGTTGGGATGGGACTAGGATACCGCCGTCTTGCGAATATGATGTGACTATTTTGGGGGCGTAGTAGATGGATGTGGAAGCGGAGTGCGCTGACGTGATTAAACAATAGATCCATCTATAGATATCTGACGTCTCTTTATATATCGGCGGCACTGACAGCTACAGAGCAGGTATTTGTGCTATCATCAACAGACATTCTTAGGGAATCAATACATACTCACAGAACGTATTGAGCGACAATCTTGTGTGCAATCACTTAGAAAATGCCACGATGTAAACTGGCGATGGTAAGGTCGAAGACGCCAAAACCTCTCAATTGCTCATATAGAACGAAGATTGTCAATTTGTAGGAGTTTTTCCCTGGATGTGAATTTGATTGGTCCAGTCTCACGTCAACTGACACTCAATCAGAGCATGCAGCCAAGAAATTCCCCGAGAACAAGACGGTTATACTAAATAAATATTTACAGTATGATTGAAATGCGAAAGCGAGGATCTTATAATACAATATGTAGATGTACAGAGTTAAATCACCAAGCGAACCCCAAGAGGAACGATTACGATATGTATTCCGGAAGCGGAAGGATATGATATGCAATGCCCAAGATATCGTGAAGACCATTCCAAGCTCGCCATTTGGAATATCGGAGTTTTCCGTCCCATTTGGAGTAGCTGCACAATAATTCATCCATTCCTAACAACCAACCAAATCGGTAGCGCTCGGTTACCCAGTGCCGGTCGAACCGAAGAAGCTCGTGACTAATAGAAACCCCAGTTTTCCCCACAGTGGAGAGTTGGGGACAAGGGTTCTCTTTTTTTATAACTGCTATAACCCGTGGATGTTCCTCTTTTGATACATCATGGCAAAATATATATCAAAATGGCTTCAACGGAGGATATACATGGTGCCCAACCACATCCACCGCCCGCATCAGGAAACTTGGCGCCCGAAAATGAACATGAACACGAACAACCCAAAAAAAGAGTCAATGGGGGCCTTGATGCATGGATAAATGTCCTTGCAGGATTCTGTGTTTTTGTGAACTCTTGGTGGGTTTAAATCGTTGCTATATTAAGCATATATCAAGCTAATGTATGTTGCAGGGGCCTGCTAACAACCTATGGCGCTTTTCAAGAGTATTACCAGACAGAGCTTCTACCAAATGAGACACCATCCGCAATCTCATGGGTGGGCAGTATTCAGGCCACTCTAATCCCAATGGTGGGTCTTGCTACAGGGCCATTAGTCGATGTTGGATACTTGCGCCCTCTCATTATATCCGGAAGTTTCTTAACTGTATTCGGAATGATGATGACGAGTCTCGCCACTTCGTACTATCAGGTAAATCTACAATCCAACATTGGAGGAACCCAATCTTCTGACAAGGATAGGTATTGCTCGCGCAAGGATTTTGCGTCGGAATGGGAGGCGGCATTTCCTACATCCCAGCCCTCGTGGTCATCTCCACGAGTTTCACCACGAAACGCCCAATCGCCATCGGCTGTGCTTCAATTGGGTCTAGCGTGGGGGCCGTCATTTTCCCAATCATGTTCCGCCAACTGCAGCCAAGGATCGGGTTCCCATGGGCAGTGCGCTGCATCGGCTTCATCAGCCTATTTCTTGCTATTGTGGCGTGTCTAATTCTATGTCGGCAACCCGGCCAAAGGGCCCATGCAAGAAGTCTTATCGACTGGAAAGCCTTCCGCGAGCCATCGTTTATGACGTTCTCGCTCTCACTCACGTGTGTCATGCTCGCATACTACGTGCCGATTTTCTATATCGCCTCCTATGCCCGCACGGTGGTGCATACCACCACCGACTTCAGCTTTTATATGGTTGCTATCGTCAACGGCACCTCGGTCATTGGTCGTGTCGTTCCATATCTACTTGTCGCATATATCAAGCCCATTGGGATCCTGATATTCTCTGTGACTGCGTCGGCGATTGCTATGTTCACTTGGATTGCGGCTACGGGTATGGCTGGGTTTGTTGTCTGGGCATGCTACTGGGGAGCTCTCAGTGGTGTTTTGGTTACGGCGCCAACTTCTATTGTGGCACATCCGATCTTTTGTCAAGATTCGAGCTTTTTGGGGACTCGTTTGGGCATGATGTGGGGGATATCATCTTTTGGCGCGCTTGCTGGAACTCCCATTGCAGGTGCTTTGGTAAATCTTGATACCGCAGAGTTTTTGCATGCTCAGGTATTTGCGGGGTGCATGATGGTTGGCGCTGTCTTGTTGCAGATCTGGCCAACTTTCAGGGTGGTTCGGTATGATCTAGAGCACCCTCGCAAGAAGTGAGCCGTTACACTGGAAGCTGGAGGGCAGGATTGCCTTTCTGAATCAACTCAAGTAAATATGCATCAAATTCCAAAGTAATAGATATCCTAGTCGCATGTTATGATAGTAGAAAGCAAGGCTCACTATGTTCCAATACCAATAACGAGGGGACATACATAAAGAAAGGATGTCTAAAAAGAATACCCAAGGAGACTATCAAAAGAAATACTTACAACAATGCATCTATTATATAGTGAGGAAAGTAGGGCTATTTGCACTATTAAGCAAGAAATGGGCTCCTATTAGGCCGACGCAATAGATGGTGGGCATGGAGGAAGCCCTACAGGATGTAATGGGCCGGGTCTGGGCCTAATACCCAATCAATTTGTGGGATGGCTAGGGTGAGCTTCATAAACTCTAGATAAAGAAGTCTATTAGCAACATTCAAGACCGATGCAGGTTCTAGAGCCTTTATTCATTCTACACTAATTGGCGTACTATTGCTTATCACTACCTCAGATCTGGCGGGTTACAATAAAAAAAAAAGGTACACTCGTGGTGCTATGATATCCACCTAACCCTCGAGTCTGCACCATCTGCGGAAAAGAAGTGAGCATGAAAGTGGTAGATATCCAAGCAAATGTGACCGGCGGTGCCTTCTGTTAAGAACTGTAGTTGATTATCACAGATTAACATAGAATTTGGATTTCAAGAAGATTGATAATAATATCGGCGATGGACCACTTTGGCTGATGAGGTCATCTATACAGTTTCACGGGAACAAAGAAAAAAAAAGGTCCAAAGTGCCTAAGCAATATTTCAGTACAAAAATATGTCAAGTGGCTCTATGATGTTAATTTTTTTGGGTTGCGGAAAGTAACGGATCAATTCCACAGCCGTTTCTCAGATACCTGAGCGCAATGATGATGGTGCGATCTGGTGCCTGCAGATAAAGCAATTGTTATTGTAGGTGGCGAGAGACACAAACCAATATTGGATATATAAACACTACACATGACTCTGCCAAGTCTGCACTTGCTATTGTTGCATGTTCTTACTAAGATAGGGAACCAATCACAGGGAGCGATGTATACTCATCATGACTTCATCCGGGGTCGTGGCAAGGATTAGGCCAAGGCCATATATAAATCCAAGTAAACGAATTCGACTTCAGTTTAAATACCCACTATCTGTATAAATTCAAGAAGAGCTGCAACCACCGAACGGAATTTCCTCAATAAATTGTGAGTGTGCAAAGCTATTATTCCAATGCCGACTTTGTACCATCCACTTCTCTCGTAAATTAATGACGTGGAGCGTCTCCTAGCTCCCAATATCGATTATTTTGCTAATCCTCTTATCCAGGTCAAACTAACCACAACATCAAAATGGGCGGTGATAGTAGCTTCAACCGCCAAACCACTGCTGTAGCCGGAGGCAGCAGTGCCGAACCCACCCCCGCCAACAATGTGGGCGGTGGAGAAGGATGGGGTGACAGGCTCTGGTTAGGTGGCAAAGAAGAAGGATTGGGTCACTCCGTGGTATGTGGTTCAGTATTGGCACAGCTTCATACCATGCTTTAACTAGTCCTAATTCTCATATTACAGGCTACTAATCCCAGATCAACAATGGGCGACTTCCTTGCTTTACAAGATCAGAAGACGCGTGGGCAAAATAAGTTCATTCAGCGTGAGAACTTGGTTGGTACCGATGCTAAACCCATGAACGCCGAGGGAGAGCCAACTTGTGCCACTGAAGATCATAGTTTTATGACCCGAAAGGCTGGTGACCCAGATACTTATCCTGGATGGGGTGCATTCAAGAGGTTTTTCGGCATGTGAGTTCCCTCTTTGGCTCTTAGACGATTTATAACTTGATTGTTCTGACCAAATCCAATCCATTCTAGAGGATGAGAGACGAAGCTATGGATTTACTATGCCGTCAGCTCTAAACCTCTTATGTTAATTATGAATCGAAACTCAATTTATCGAACATGCGAAATTGTGATATAGTACATAAAAAAGTACTTTTGATCTTATACCAACCAATTTTACATCAGCCCCAGAACATTAGTCCTAGAGAGATGATTTGATGACCTGAAGTTTTTCGAGCTCACCTAATGCGCATCCGACCGCGTCAACTGCCATTCCATATCCAGCCTGGAATCCCGTTCCTCCAGCACCGTAATTATGAACGACGAGACCCTTTCGGTCCGAACCATCGACCTGCACGACTTCACTTTCAACTCGGGCACCTCCCTCTCGTGATGGACGCAAGCCTGCAAATGCTGCGAGGATCTCTGTGTCGGGCGACTCGAGCTCGGGTAGCATCGCCTTAGTCCGGGACAATATAGACTCAGTTTCATCCCCAAGTGTATCAGGCAAGCTATAACAGTTAGTCCTTGAAGCACATTGCCAAAATAGCAGAAAACCTTTAAATCTATTTGACTCACCTGACCCCCTTCTGCATATATCCACCGAGAATGACATTACCCTTCGAGTGTGGTCGTGGGATAATGTATGTCTCATAGTCCTTGCCGTGTCTCATCACGTTTTGGTTGATATGTGTTGCCTTGGCTAGCAGAATTTGACCTCTGGTGGGGTAGCACTTAGGGTCCTCGACTCCCTGCAGGGTACGAGCAGCATTACCGGTGCAGTTAAATACTACCTTTGTATCCTTGCTGAGAAAGCCCGAGGTGACACCCGGGATCCTTTTGCGGATGACCCGCACTCCGTACTGTTGTCTGAGTCTTTGAAGAAGATAGCGAATATGCAACGGGGCATTCAGAGTTACTGTGGTGAATTTGACACCACATGCAACACCTTCTGGGAGGTCTTGTTGGGGAATCTCTTTGTACTGTAGATTTTCTATATCAGCAATCTAAATCGGACCAGGCAAACGACCATTTCTTGGTAATCGACTCACATCCTTTAGATAACTAGCCATAGAATTGAGCTTCGTGCGCGACGGCATTTCATCCCAGTACTCAGTAGAAGGGGTTTCTCGAACAAATGCCTTTATCCCGTCTTGTGCAGCAAGTTTGAGGAGGTGCTTGTACCCGAGTTGATCCCATCGTAAGGCATTCTTATCGCTTGCAGAAAGAGCAGAGAAGTTCGCACCAGCCCTAGATCGTGTTAGTACCATCGAAATATATATATATATATATATATATATAAATATACAAGCACTGTCAAGGGTGAGAAGGCTTACCAAGGTGAAGTATAGTTTATGGATGTATCACCAGGGAGGTGCTCGGCTATGATGGTTGTTTGACTGGCATACCCTTGCTCAGCAAGGACCAGGGCAACATTCAATCCAATGATGCCAGCACTTCAAAAAAGAATGTTAGTTCATATATGTGAACTGTGGGAGATTTCTTTGATCTCGCACCCAATAATTACCACAGATTCACTCTTCATTATGACTAGATCGGTGTTGAGAAACTCAGTTAAAACGACTAGGACTCACAATCCGTCTAGGTTTTGGGCCCCTTCAATTTAAACGAAAAAGAAACAAAATTTCTCAATTTTCTAGTGAGAATCCCGCATTGACTCATTTGATATGATATCGCTTATCTAGTGTCTAAGTTTCAATTTATATCAATTTAGATGGGATTAACGAGTAGACAACCGCCTATCTCGGAGGAGATAGATCTGTGGCTACTCCGATTGGCGGCATTCAGATGTGGATCCAGGCGGCATATATTGTGATTGGTGCCCGTGATTCCAGCTTCGGCTGTAATGGGAAGGTTGTATATCTGAGGTCGGTTGATAAAAGCCCATGGCACTAGAGAAAATGGTTACCAAGATGACATAGCTCGCAAATGTTAGACATGAAATATTTGCCACACTTGCGGTGTCCTATTTCGGACAATCTTTCGAGATATGGTAATCATTTGTACTTGAAATTAAAAAGGGAAAACATGTCGCTCTTGTTGAAACTACTAAGTTCCTGCACGCATGATGTAATTCCACTTCTGGCATCTTATGCAGTTACAAAAATGCCGAAAAGGATATACAAAAAGGGAGACGTCTAAGTACATAGTGGCGCGACAATGGATGGAGAGTCGTAAAGGCCGAGACTTAGAGGAGCTATCTATTCGAAGAAACATATACATGAACATGTCATTTAAGAAATACGGCTGTAAGAATAATATGTGAAAGTAGATTTATTATATAGTTTATTGAGTTGAAAAGACGACTTCTATACTTCGCTGTGTTTGCCATGATCAGCAACATGTGTAACATGTTGCCCATTTCCTTCAACTGGAACTCCTTCAACGAGTCCAGTGTTAACAAGATCAAGAGAGTCACTGTTTCTAAAGCAAAGATAAAACAGACACCCCGCCACGAAACCCACAATTGCAAGAGATGCATACATCCAAAGAATATACGGATCTTGCGACACTGGGCTTAGACCAATGCAGATCGCTGCTGCAATGCCAATCATAAGCCAGAATAGTGCGGAAATAAAGGATCGGAGGCTAAAGTAAGTTGTGGTTAGTTTCAGTTGGACGGTATCATGGGGAAATTTGACTTACTTTTTCGGGGCATGTGTGAAGGCAAGTTCCAGGCCAGTAACAATAACAAAGGCTTCGGAGAATGCGACAAAGATATACGCAGGGGCTTGAATCCACACGTGTATACTTTTTGGTGGAGAGATATAAATGTAATGCTGTAGCACGCTGGAGTAGACCATGGAAATCGAGACAAGAAGGAAACCGGCGAAGATCCGAAGGACTGGGCTGAAGTTGATCTTAAACTTGCGAAGGACTGGATAAACTCCCACTAAAGATAGGTTCATTAGCGGATGTTCTGTTCCCTCTGGTTTCATCATGTCAATACTCACAGTCAAGAAGTGGGATAAAGATACACAAAGCGATGGGGTCAAGGTTTTGCAGGAGATCGTTCGGCGTTCCATGCAAAGCCATTTGTCCAGCTTGTGAGATAAGATTGTTCCAAATCTGAACCCAACAAACAAAATAGAACGGGAAAAATATGAACATCTATCATATGTGTAAGTATAACTCATTATGGGAGTATTGGATTTCAACTTACTCTGCAGCTCCTGAAGCCTCGGCGGACGTCTGTGACATATGCATCAGTGTAACGCGGTGAAGATGCAAATGCATACCTGCTCAAACGGCCTGAAGCCTCCAGAGCCGATGGCTTTGCATCTTCAAAATGCTTCTCCTTTCGGACAATGTTCAAGACCTTGCATGCATCTAGAATCGCAGACCCCTGGGGAGGAATTTTAACATATCGCTTCTGGCCAGACAAAAAGACGATAGCAGATAGAACGATCGCGCTAGAGGATATTAGCGGGTTTAAAATACGTGTCTCATACCCCAACTTACATCAATGGAATCAAGTAGGCAAGCCAGAAAGAGTGCTTTGCCTCAACATTGACTGTAATCAAGGGGGAGAGGGCGCCAACATTGACGACCCAGTAAAACCACATGAAGAGTCGCTGCACGGTCAATTCAGGATCAACAACCACGCGCTCTCCCGATTTAAGGGTCTTCAAAACTGGCTCTGCATTTTGGTATTGCTCGGCGCACATGGGAGTCACGTTAGCCTTAATTCCACCTGTTCCCAGGCCAATGATGACCATTGCAGCCACCAGCCCTCCAAATCCAGCATCACTCTTAAGACCAGCTGGTGTCGCGGTGGCAACCAGGATGGTCAACCCGACCATGTAAATTCCAAGAGAGATAGTGATGGCTTTAAATTTGCCGACATATTGATCTGGTGGACTATTAGCAGCAACACTACAAAGTCCCACAGGAAGATGTATTACCTGCAATAATTGCGCCAATAATGGTGGATGCATAGGCCCAAAATTTAAAGAAGTTTCCAAGAGCCGAGGCGGTTGCTTGTCCTCTGCCTAGTGCGCCAGGGAGATCGGAACCAGGATCATAAGGGTTACTAGAGAAAAAAAAGAAGTTAGATGTCTGTTCCAAAAGATCTATCCATTTATGAACATGTACTTGATATAATTTTGCATGGGACCGCTCAGGCCAAAATATGTGAACCGTTCGCCAAGCTAATATGTGGATGTTAGTGGACAAGTGGGCATCAACACGTGGCGGGTGGGGTAGAATACCTCGACGACTAGGATTAGTAGTGCGACACGTGGGAACTGGTCAGGAATACGGCGGAGCCCAGCATGGAGACCAGTAGGAGAGTGATCAACTTTGTCCAGGTCCTCTTCTGAATAGTCTCTCCGATTATCGACCGTGACAGAATCCATCTCGGCGAGACAAGATGTAAATATACGAAGTGGTGTGTCAAGCGATGTGTGAGAAAATATTAACTTGTCTATGCTACGTCAAATTAGAGGAACGGCGTTTTAATTTAACCAACTCGGTCAATGGAAGATTCGATATCGGGAATGAATCCGGGGTGCATGGCCCACATAGAATCCGCAGATAGGAAGAACCCCCCGCCCGGATGCCTATCGCTTTGATCGGAGCCGATAACATGGCCGATGCCGCCAACCAGAGCCCTGAATTATGTTCAAGGCGTATCAAAGAGTAGGTGACTAACTTTATCAACACTGCCACAGATTTATTTGATTAACTTTGATTCCTCGCTTAAGATTGACCATTGAACACCATTTTACCTTCTCAATTCCTCTTTATCGCTAACCTAATCGTGGCTTTGACACATAGCAATGGCCTGTGCACAAACAACAGTCGTGGTTGAAGAGAAGAAGGGGCGCTTGTCTATACCAGACAAGCTCTTGAATGGATTGGACTCCGAATGGGTAGAACTATGGGAGAAGCATGGCAGCTCCATGGTGAGAGCTGACGAGCTATCCCTTGAAGAATATCGCAAGAGTCCCGCCACATACAGCTTCACGTACCCAACATGTCCTGGTAAGTCAGATTCATGAGCATAATTTCTTGAATTTTGGGTCTTCAACAAGTACTGACTACCATCGAGGTCCATCCGTTTTCCATGTTGAGGACATAGAGATCCCAGTCTCTCAGCCAGCTGGAAAGATCATGATCAGGGTCTATACACCGGAAGGCCCAGGGCCTTTCCCTGTTCATTTGAACTTCCATGGAGGTACACAACTCATGGCGCCGTACTTCCGCTCTCCTGCATGGACTTTCTAACCCTTGTTCATCGACTCTAGGTGGTTGGGTCCTTGGCAATCTCAACTCTGAAGCTGCTTGGTGCCGACACATGTGCAACAAAGCCCAAATTAAAGTGATTGATGTCGACTACCGACTGGCTCCGGAGTTCCCATATCCTACCAGCATCTACGATTCATGGGATGCTGTGAAATGGGTAAGTACAATACTCAATGCCATTTAAGGCTCACTTCATTAACGCAAGACATTTTGACAGACAATCGCCAATGCTTCTAGTATCAATGTTGATTCATCGAGTGTTTCTATTGGAGGTCTTTCAGCTGGAGGTCAAATGACTGCAGTAATGGCGCATTTCGCCCGCGACGAGGGCATTGATCTGAAACTTCAGTTGATCATAGTTCCAGCAACAGACATGCGCTACTGTATAAGAACCCGGGAGCTGAACGAGGCCACCTGTCCATATGAAAGTGTCTTGCTATACCATGATGCCCCGTGGGGACCACTGGGCAGAGAGCAATGGTTCCTAAAGTATTGGCTCGGTGATGATGATGGTAGGTCTTTCTTTTCTCTGTTCCCTCTTTTGCAACTCCCCTGAGCCATGTACTAATGGTTTTCTAGCTACCCAAGAAAGAATCTTGACAAAAGATTGGATCTGCACACCTGTACTTGCTCCTTCATTCAAAAGCCTCGCGAAGGCACACATCATCACAGCAGAGTTTGATCTTGAGAGAGACGAAGGAGAGTATTATGGTCAGCTCATGCAAAGGGCCGGAAACGATGTCACAATGAAGAGATACCCCGGCGTACCACATGCATTCGGGCACTTCAATCACCCTGAAAGGGGACTCTCGCAGAGCTTTGTATATATCGAAGATACCAGTCGAATCCTTCGGCAGGTGCACTTTGGCAAGAGTGAAGAGTAATGGAGAGTATGTGCAAAAAAAGATAAGAAGCAAAAACAAAATTGGCTCAAGCTCCAATTTCCCTTGAGTGGACCGCGAGGTGATGATGCTAGGATATATTGTTCAGTAGATCTAACCTTCCATTTTGTTTCGAGTTGAGTTTTTCTAATATCCTACTTATTCACTAGAAAGTCCTAATTTCGTGAGTCTCTGCTTTCTCATCCATACACGACTATTGGTCTTGAATTCACCAAAAGGGTTCACAAGGAATTTATGACAAACATTTTTACTTCCCGAGTTCGGCCCGGGAGATGCGGGGACAAGGTTATCAGCACGATAACCCTAATTTTTTATTTTTTATTCATATTAGTCACAGTCGCGGCCTGTCCAGGTAGAATGAGCTAGGAATTGGTTCGTTTATTATAGGGTCGGTTTTATATGTAATTCTGTGTCTCAAATAAACAGTAAAGTTTGGTTATATGAACTAGTCGTTTAGTCCCCAACCTTGAAAGTCAAGGATAGGACGCCGCATTATGTCCGTCGACTGACCAGTTTGGTCATAACACCCACCAAACCACAGAAGCTTCAAAGGTCCCTCAGACTCTAGGCACGGAATCAGCAGGTTCTCCATTATCAACATGATCGCCCCAAGAGTAAATGGTAAAGTGAGAGAAAATCTCCGCTTCCGAATGCCAATATCGCACTAAGCCGCTGTTGGGGTTAGTGCGCCCTTTCAATTACAATCCTTGTCGGATGATCCCATCTCCCATGGATTATTTTCATGGATGGATTGCTTGTTTGCTAGATTCGGGGTATAAATTTCCTTCTCTCTAGTTATAGAGTGAAACATCAAGAGTACTTCCTTCTCTTTCTCCCCGAGCCCCAGCTAAATCAATCCTATTTATACAAGAACTTGATAAGGCATTGAATTATAATAAATTACACTGATATAGGAAGACCTCCGTAGATAATACATAGTATGTTGTAGTGCTGAAGGCAGAGAGTTGTCAAAGAACCTTCAGGAGATATGCAAAATCACGTGACGCATAGGGCCATTGCTTGTGTCCTCTATCCTTGTGCACATCTACCTCTTTAACCCCGGGGTTTGGCGCCTAGCACATGCACCCATGAAAATTTTCCCAATGCAAGGATGTCAGGCAGAGCTCGTAGGTACATGAGTAAACGAAACCGCGCTTGTGATTCCTGTCGAGCTAGGAAGGCAGCTTGTCGCATTGATCGAGCACCTCCCTGTTACCTTTGCACGGTTAATGGGAAAGAATGCACATTCCTACAGCCAACCTTAAGGCCACGACAGCCTTTTCCCGAGGTGGTTAGCCAACAAATCCCCCAACAAGCTGAGATGAACTCATGCTCAGAGCAGCATGAGGTTTCACCAGTTGGTGACTCAGTCCACTACGATATCTTGATGTCGATTGATAATGATAGGGTAGATCATTCGACTACTACTGCACCCGAGGGATTTCATGATTTCTTTCAAGAAACCGGAGTATCATTGTCAGGTGACTTTGGAGATGGCACATGGCCAACTGGATTTACTCCAGGGAGCTTTATCTATCCATCTCCTGGGCTGCCAGAGACTGGTCGTTCGGAGGATGGAGGTTCATCACAAGCCGCCCCTTTGCCAATCCTTATGCAGGAGAGTGGCTCATCGATTTGCCTTGATACTCAAGGTGTAATGACACCACAATTGCTCGGCAGTAGTGGAGATATGGACCCTTTGCTGATGAGTCGGTATCAATACGACACATCTGGGGCTTTTCATTTCAAAAATCTCAATATACAATCCGTATCCTCGGGGCCCGACCCAACGCAGTTTCTACTGTCAAAGCCCTCAATATTTGCTGCCAGCAGGGAGGAAAATGGATGTGAGAACGTTTCAGTCGTTGAATTGAGGCAGGAACTCGAAACTTTGGTCCCGGGAGATATCGGTCTCAGACTAATTAACCTATTTGAGAGAATCGTCGCACCAGATTACCCAGTACTTGGCCCCCCAGGCCAACTAAACCCCAGCACCAGCCCGCCATACCTCCTTGCGAGCGTATACCTAATAGTCGAGCCTTTCACTAAATTCGACGAAAAACTGTGCATTGATCTCGCATATGATAAGCCATCAGCTGTGGCACTGTACGATATTATCAACAAAGCGCTTCCACATGAGATACATGCACCGAAGATTTGTATTGTGCAGACAATGCTTCTTTTGGCTATTCGACCTTATCCAAACCCAATTGTATTGGATAGTGGCTTCAAATGGACCCAGCTCACCACTCTTATTGCTTGCGCTCATACACTTGGACTGCATTTGGATCCAAAGTCGTGGCGAATATCTCCATGGCAAATTGCCCAGCGACGCTGTCTGTCTTATTTCATTTATTCGACAGACAAGTGGCTTGCATTGAGCCTTGGCCGGCCACCTTTACTGCATTACGATAACTGGCTGGTGACAAGTCCAAGCGACGAGGATTGTTCTGTCAGTAGACTTGACCTTGAGGCCTACACGAATATCATGAAGCGAGCGGAACTCGACACTTTGCTTGATCGTGTTCTAACCCAATTATAGTAAGTCAACCCGTATCTCACCATCTCGCCTTTACCTATAACTCACTAGTATTAGTTCTGCTCGTGCTATTAATACCATATCTACTGATTATGAGAAGACCATCGCATTGACTGGTTCACTGCTTGAAGATCTCTTCTTATGGCACAGACCATTATCAGCACCATCGACCGATTTCAGATCTTCAAATCATGATTCATCACACCAAGGCAGACCAACCGGACTAGCAAGAACACTCGAGATGAATTACCATTATGTTCATCTGAGTATCTGTAGGGCCATTTTGAGACCCTTCCTTCAGCCCACTGCCGAAAACTTGAATAAAACCGAGTATGTATTGGCGCGTGAGCAGGCCCGGATTCGAGCAGAAACATGCATTTCGGCAGCGGCTGAGTTTATTCACGAGCTGCGCCCGGAGGACCTGGAGGCCTTATGGCCAGCCTGGAGTGCGACTGCATTCTCCTCCATCTGTTTCCAAATTCTGCACATGGCTGCCAGCGCCGTTGATAGGAGCGAGGCGGATAAATGGGTCACTTGTTTACACAAAGTGCGCCGGGATATGCGCCTGAAGGCTGATGTTCTGCCTTGCCTCCACCTTGGCCTTTTGCGGATTGACTCTATATTTTGGAAAGGAATTGATAATGTATTGCATTTGGAAGAGCATGTCCGACAAGCGTTCGCGTCGGGTTCAAGTGTTGGTCGGCCTCTTGGGATAACTGGTCCAGCCAAGTAAAGAAATTTGTGGCAGCGGTCTTTTTTGGCCTCGATATCAAAGGTCTTCATGTTTTATGTGGAAATGGGCAACAAAAAACCAAAGCTGGAATTCTCACCCGTCTCTTACGGGACCTAGGAGATTCTAGATATTGCAATTGTAATTATTATGTTCAATGTAAACTACTCGACTTTGGTACCCTTGCCACGGAGTCGATCCCGAATGGCCACCACCTTCCCCAGTATCCGGCCTTTCAGAGTCTGCGTTCCAAGAGCGGCGGCCTCATCTAGGGAGACAACTCGTCGAACCAGGATGTTGAAGATAGTTCCGAATGCAAGAGCAATCACGGTACTAGTGAGAATGATCACATTGTATGGCATGCTGAAATCAGGGGTGGGGAGTTGAAGCAGTAGACTTGTAGAACGGATGTAGATCGGCGCATTATGTGCCTTATCCAAGACCCGAATTACTGCAGGTGCAACGTTGAACCCTCTATTAGCATCTGGTGGGTACTCGGTGTACCGAAGAATGGCTTTCTCGAAATCGTAAGTCAACGTGACTGTTGATGCGGCGGGGACAGACAGCGCCAGTTCTAATTGTGTTCCACGCTCGCGATCAATGGCGGGTCGGTAATACGTCTCTTTGACGATTTCAGAGGCCGGGACCTCGCGCAGGACTCCGTCGTGTCCTGTGATTGTTGCGTGCAAAGTATGTATATAGGGTCGCAAGAACCACGGAAGAGACTCGAAGTAGATAAAATCAACTGCGCTGGTGTTGGATGGATTGCCAAAGATAATTCGCATTCCACCGCGCTCCTGGCCGTGGCCAACGATGGTTCGCTCCGCGTGCAAAACAGGCTCGTCTAACGGGACTTCAGTGCTAATTGGCTGTTGCGGAATGGAAAGATCAAAGGAAACCGATGGCGCCAATTTGAAACAGCGCGTGAATCCATCATCTCTCTTGATTTCATCGGCCTCCTCGGATATGAAGACATCCCGTTCGTGGGGCACCCGAAGGCAGACACTCTGATCGCTAGACCCATCGAAATCTGTAAGAGGACAAACGCCATTCAGGGTTCGCCCAAAAATTTCTGTAAGACTCCACGCCTTGTCGCTTGTCTTCTCCAGCGGGTAACAGGTATCATCTGAATTATAAGGCTTGGATGTGTCACAAACCAGCTGCTCATTAGGTACAGGCCGAGGAATTGGGTTCGCTATATCTAAGTTAGCAATCTTAAGACAGAGTATGCCGGCAAAGAATACGCACAACGAGAGCGCTTGGACCGGTCAATATCCAAGACCATGTCCACGGTTTGCTCGATCTGAACCACACATTCTCCGTCCGTAGAACAGACTGGCTGGATATCAACTGACATACTCTGCCATGCAGCATCGAACAGTTTGTGCCCGTCAAATAGTGAGGAGATTCCAGCCTTGCCTTTGCAAGGAAGCAGTTTCAAGAAAGGGGTCAAATTCTCCGTGCAAACTACCTCCCCGGGAAGCGTTCCATGCAAAAGGTGCAGTTCATCGGCAGCTGGGTGATCCCCAGCTGGTTCAAAAGAAACCACAGGTCGAGTGGTCCGGGTAGAGTCCACGAAGTTCAGCGAGGCACAGAACAAACCAGAGAGGGACTGCGTCAAAGTGATCCATTTGGCAAAAGCCCTGCATAAGTCAGCATTGCGTAGCTCTCATGACATATTCCGAGTTAGGAGCATACTCTTCATCACCTGGC